CACGATCCTCCGCAACACATCCGGTAAAGCAAGTCTATCACTGCTAAATCTTCATTGAGTGAAGCAAGTGTCAACAGTCCTCAATGAAGCCTACAAGAAATCACTAGTTGCAAAGTAACCAACAATCAGTCTTCAACTTGCCTTCACAAGAACCAAACACCAAACTCGTGCCATCAAGTCATATACTTGTCCAATATGAACGTAATACCCTAGATACAAGATAAAGGTTCATGGATAAACACGAATTAAATGACCACTCGAATCCAACTCAACCGCAATAAGCTCACCAATGCATTTAGCTAACAGCTCTGAGCATACCTTGAAGAAGTTAGCTATGTATGATCAACACTCAGTTGAAACCAAAGTGAAGATCATGAGATAAACTCATATTAGTACACAACCTCCTCATAGACAAAGCTATAGTATAGGTACTAACATCTCAAACTCACACAACTAAATTGGACCTCACCATCCTCAATCAAGGGCTACTAAAACTAAGTCAAAATTAGTAAGAGCTCACTACTCTCATAGAGTCTTAACGAAATGCAAAATGCAACCTACCACCGAGCATAACACTATAGAAGAAAGGCACAAGGGTTACCTTTCTTAGAAAAGTGCAACATATAAGACAATCATTTTCAATATGCACCAAGATAGGGACTTTTGATTGCATACCATGAACATGAGCAATGAGTCACACTTTGTTGCAAATTATCTCTTCAAGAGAAAATGATTTACATGTTTGATCCTTCATCCCTGACAACTTTCTTTTCGGCCTCATCTTTGACTAAACCTCAAACTTGCTTTCACACTGTCTTCAGTCTAATCCAAGAAAAGTTTATGAGAGAGTACGGCAATGACTATTTGAATCAATAGACTAATCCCTTTAGTCTTGATTGATCCACTTATAATCATGCCTAGGAAAGATCCATTAGTGCTGTGCTAAACAACTATAGACCAGCCTATTTGCCACTCATAACAAACTCAGAGAAGGTTTACCTTCACCCACGATGTATGGAACAATTCATGGAACTAATGGAACAACTCATAGAACCACCGATAGGTTAATATTAGTCCTGCCAACTCAAAGTGTAACCTTAAGTTGCTAATGTGCCTCACTCACAAGCCCAAGCATAAACTCGTGCAAACAAATATTGGAATGTTTGAATCTTTATTGGATTTGAGTTGGAATATATTGATTATTGATGATTCTTTTTGTACTTGTTATGAAGTGAGTTACGTCTTGTTATAGATAGATTCATGGAGGATTATTTAGTGATCACTTGTTGAGCATAGCTCCATTGTGCTTGGCTTTTGGATTGATGCAGATATACTCTCTATTAGGTTTGCATTATAAAGTTTAGTTTATTAATGTGTTGAGAAAGATATTGTGGGTTATACCATGATTTCTTCTTTAGCATTGAAGTTGGTTCATGCGAAACTTGTGATCATTACTTAAGTCTAAGATGTTGAAGTTAGTGTTTGCATCTAGCAATCATTGGTGATGATTGACTATCATCTAAGATAGTTGATTATCTTTGTCAAAGGTTTTGTTTGATTATTATTTGTATGGAAAGATTTGCTATTCTTCGAGATGGTGGATTCCTTTTTCGACAATGATTATGCATATCTTTTGATAGGATGATTAATGATCTTCTATGATAGTTAGTTGTTTTTTTTTTATAGCTTATAGCTTTTCGCATTACCACATGTTATTTGTGGTTTACTCTGGATTGGTCTCTTGGATTTGAGACATTAATAGGAGGGGGGGGGGGGGGGGGGGGGTTCCAAATGTATAGTAGGGATAATAGGTAGGTCGGGCATGATCGACCAACCTGAGGCATAGTCTAGCTCTTGCTTACGTGGCTGTTTTTGTTCTACGTCTAGCTTGGGTTTAAGCCCAAGTTCCATTCCATGCTAGCTAGTGGAATACCCATATCCTTGCGTTAGGCCACCGATATGCTGAAATAGCACCAGACTCCATTTGACTTCGTTTTACGTGCTGGTCCTGGCATTGGGATGTTGGTTGCTCCAGGATTGTTCCAAGTCACTCTGGGCTCCTATCCCTTCGCTCTGTGGGTTGTATGCTCGAGAGTTGCTCCATGGTCCGATTCCATCACTCCTTGGCTCCATGCTTGGGAGTTTGGCACCATTCCTTCGTTCAGTGGCCCAAGGCCTTGAACATCGGGTTCCACACCACTGTCCTATGGACACGTGGAATGTGACACATGGCATATGATATGTGGCACATGAAAGGTTTAGGTTCTGCTTCGTAGTGTTATCCTATAGTAAATTACCATAGGATAAAGGGTAAAAACCACATACGGTACATGTGGTATCGGAGCAAATGGCACAGGCTCAATTCCTATTGATTAATGGTTACTTAAAAATATAATATCCCCTTGAGCAAGGTATATTCCTACCCCTAAATTTGAAATCATACATATTAGGCATTCATGCATATGTCCTTCCTCTTGTGTAGAGTATCCACGGACGAAGGTATCCACCATGGGACTACGGTACGAGTGGATGACTAGTTACCTCATATGAAATAGCTGATCTACACAATGGAAGGATTGGTAAATTTAATGTGGAAATGGAGGTGTTAGTTCCTCTTGGCTCAGTAAGGGTTATTAGTCAATAGTCAATAAGGACATTGATATCTTTGAAAGGGGGGTGAGTGTAGTGCATGTGATCATGGGATGAGATTTGAATATAATGTCACCATGGATCCTTAGAACCTTGGGGGATAAATGGGGATAAAATAGCCACTAAGGGCTCTCTCATCAAACAATTAAGAGTTTTCTAGTTGGTGTAAAGGGAGAGAGATATGGTTCCAATATTTAGTATTTCCAATATTAAATATAGAATGTCCCTAGATTGCGAATTTGGACATGAAACGAACACTATTGTGTTCAGGCTGACCTTTACATTCCGTAAATATGCCAAATGAGCGAATCTAGACACTTCCCATAAATAGCATTTGGGACCAAAATGAGACTAACACAAAGGGCGTGATAACAAGGGTGTTTGGCAGACACAGTAAGCTATCATCTAACAATATTGAGGGACTAATCTCAATAGAGGGTTTTTGCCAAGCCAGTGCAAGACAAAGCAAAAAAGAATTAACAAGCCGAGGCAAGTATACTTGGCTAAATACACACTTAGGATTCCTTCCTTATGCTCATCCGGCCAAGTACAGATGCTAAGTCCAGTTTACTAACACTTGGACAAGAGGGGCTAATAAAGGGAACCAGCAGTATCGACCTTCTGCCATCATGGCAGTAAGGAAAGAGTGTTCGTAAGGACTAGCCGACAAATATCTTTTAATACCCGAAGTCACATTTGCGACACACACAACTCAGTCAAAAGCAAAACAAAAGTGACAACAATTTTACAAATGCCAATGGTTATATAAGGATTGTGCTAAGGTTCCAACCCAAGATGCATCAAGAAGGGCAACAGGCAGGTTAGTGTGGGGATAGAAAGCTTGGTGGCAGAAGACTTCAAGGAGTTTAGTGAACAAACATTTTACAAGATCATCAAAACAGCTTATTATAATTTGTTGATCTCATGCTTCTTGGTGGTGCCACAAGACCCTGTAAATAGTTAATGAATGAATGAAGTTATGTGAAGATCACTTTGGAGGCTATAATAGGCTTTCCAAGCTGTATCCACGTGATCAATTACCCCTGTATAAAACTAAATACATTGCTCTTTGCCATCAGTGTTAAACCTTAGCTTACTGTGGCCAAGGAGTTTTTGGTTTTGCTAGTGATTTCTTTATATACTTAACATCAGCCCTCACTTATCAATATTTTAGTTTGTGTAGTGCTTCCTTCCATTTCACATTTATCTATTTTACTAAGCAAGTCTTCAGGTTTTTTCAGAATTTGATCACCCAAATTTGGATGTTGAACATATGCTAGATTCAAGGACTATATACACACCAACTGTACTGACACTGAATTAAACCATGGATTAAACTGTGCTCACCCAAAGCAGATTCTGTCACGAATAGTTTGAATGTCAGGGCCAGATTGTTACATTATGATAAGTCAAGTGAACAAACATATGCTTATATTTATCCTGCTGTCCCATAAAAAAAGCTTTCGAGAGCCTTCCTCCATTCCATTCTCGTTATCATTGTTATCGCCTTCAGGAGCTTGATGTGTAGTATATGAGGAGTTGAGCACAGTTCGTGTTGGATTGAAGTATTCGTCTGGGCGCTTCTGTCTTTTATTCTATAGTCACGACAATTCAAGGTATTATAAATGAGTGTGAGCAATACGTATAGGAAGAGATTTATCCTTACTTGAGTCAGTTTTATTAATAATTCACAAGTACGAATCTGTTAGAAAAAGTGCTTTCTTGTGTCACCTAAATAATTTGTTGTGTGTTGCATGCAACAACGCTTGATTTGCTTAATTGTAGTGTCTTTGAATAATCCAATTAATCAATAATTATAAACATGTTTATAATTTTTAAATCAAGATTAATCTTATTGCATATTAACCATTAGATGGTAGAATAAAAAAGAATTTACTAGGAGGTGTTTAGGAAAATTATAAATTATAAACAAGATTAATCTAAATAAATAACAACCATCATATGGTAGAATATTCTAAAATATTTAAATACATTTTAGGTATATCTACAGGTTTTGTTTAAGCAAACCAAAAAGAATTAATCTCCAGGTATTCCTTTTCAAGATTACTACAGATCATATCTACAAACAAACTCAAACAAGCTAGATCAGATCTCTCACAATGTGAGACCAACTCCCATGTCTTTGCAATGACCAGGGAGCTAGTCCATGCGCCAGTGGCACGTGAGGAAGCCATGATCCTCTAGTTTCGTTCGTGCGTTTCTGGTATCGTAGCAACTAAGAACTTTTTCCTGTGGAAATGAAACGGCTTGCATACTCTCAGTACGATAAAGGAAAGCATGAACAAGGCGTGCGCTAGCTTCAAATTTGTATTTATCCGTCAAAATCATTCTTTCCATCAAACTTTTCGTCCCTTCACAGAGGAAATGGTTACAAGGTATTTGGTATTACACGTTCTTTAAAAGCTTCTAAATTGTCCAGTGTCTTTTATGGCTTTTGTGCTTCTACCGTTCTCTGAATGACAATCCTCATTCTCTGTTCGTCATATGAGAGATCTCTGGATTTCTACCGCGTGATTGTCGGAAGAGTCATTCTGATCCACTGTCCACAAGAGTAAAATTTTCTTAGCGATAGCAGAGATTGTGACTTACCAGCGTCAAAAAGACCAAAGTCCTCATCGTCAACGTGGCTTTGGCTTGAGGAAGTTTTTGTCCAAGGCTGTGAAATGCGAGCTGTGAAAGAAAATGGTCAGCACTAACTATAGGAAGTAATTACATTTGATATCTTGAGCTTGTCGGGCTATGAAGCTCCAAATTATTGTCGGTGCAAAAAGAGGCCCTTTATTCCAATCTAAATAGTGATAATAATCCCCAACGACTTCCAGCTTTTCCAGCATTGTTGATGTGAGCCTCCATATGAGGATTGCTGAACGTAGGAAAACGCAAAATAGACATACCTTGACAACGACAATAGCTGTTGTAGTGGTGAATATCGTCTCACCATTAGATTTTGTTGGTAAATCACGCTTGCTCTGCAAAGCCAACCCGAACGCCATGACTCCTTGCAAGCCTATCAATAAAAACCATCAGCTCCGTACCGCTAAACCAAAGGGCCTTTTGATGCTTGAGAGGTATTTTCCTTGCAACTGGCCGAACACATAAAAGCTGTTGACAAAGGCAAGCGGATATTCTAATACATTTACCATGAATCCGACTTCGCTAAATCCAAGCCTGCAGCAAAGGCGTAGACGTGCAGCAGCACAGGAAAACTGATTCAATGTACCTCAACCAAGCCTGTTTGATCCAGGCCTTGCCACCAATCCGCTCGTGGACCAGCCGGCAGCTTGGAGCCCCTGTATCAGCTCGTTGAAACTTTGCTGCATGCTCTGGTACGAAAGTTTAAGTAGCTCGTCTTTAGAGAGGCTCTGTTGATTGTGAATATGTCTCAAGTATGAAGCTTGTACTACGGCTCTCAACATATCATGTGGCGACGCCGATTTCTTGAGTACGACCTGCACAGCGCAGTTCGCTTCTGCTGTTACAAACGGACACAACGTGTCTGCGATGTTACCTTAAAGCAATGACTGTCGTCATATGTTAAGAGGTACTCCTCTCCACTGTAAAGATCAAGCAACGCTTGAGCAGCTCCTCTGCTAGCCACTGCTTCGCCAAAACTGACTCCCAGTTTTAAGTTCTTCTCGATGTCAGCCGCGGCACATTTCGATTCGCACGAAATAGACAGCTATTGCCAACACACTTTGAGGTGAGCAAAAAGCGACCAACATGCGTACTAACCGGTGCTTTCTTGCTGGAAAAAAAGTCTGCGACCGTGAAAATGGGCTCCACGGAGTTTACGTCTCTTACGGATGGAATTCTCTGCGTCGTCAAATATTCTGCCATGATAAGGCCTGCACAAAATGGCATCTTTTCAGTCTCAAGTAGGCTGGACGAGCACGCAAGCACCTGTTCTGTAAGGATTCAACGTGTGAAGCTGCACGGCTTGATAAGACTTGAGGTTGCACAAAACATGCACTGCTGTCACTGTACCAAAAGATAGTACTAGCAAAGGTCCGGATGATCCAACTTTGCTCGATATTCCAATGCCCAAAGCAATTCCAAGCGACTTGCTCACCATTCCTTGAGCTTCACCTTTAGCAATAACCTGCGTACACGTGAGTTTAAACTACAACGGCAGCGCTTGTAAACTCAGACCTCTGCAAAGTTGTTTTGAGTTGCAAAACCAGCGTAGAAACAGCTCCTTGTTGCCGCCTGAATGGAAATTTTCGAAAGCTCTCCTTGTAACAACACTTAATTACCTGAATCAAACCAGCAGCGGACTTCCCAGCTCCAGCAACCGCGGTAAGAGGAACAAAGAGATGTGGAAACGTCGGAGTAAGCAGCTCCAAACCACATGCACCATCTTCAATCAAGTCCGATAATAACCTCCAACCCTTTGGATGGACGTCGAAGTGACGACCATACTTTGAGAGCACGATCTTACTAAGGTATCCAATGCCGTCCTTGAGAACCCAATTGATTGCGGCTGCCGTGGGAATGGCACCTTTTCCTAGTCCAACTGCGTAAAGCAAAGCCTATACAGAAAAGAGATTTTGTTGTTCAATCGAAATCCTCCTGAAGGAACAAAAATTAAAAACCGAACCTGCGTAGTCAGGACTCCACTTATTTGGCTCGCTATGATCTGTCCCATCCTCCACAAAGTGTACTCCGTGTAGTCATCACTCACAGTCTTCGGGTATCCTATGGGAAGCATCGTTGTCTTGAGAGCATCCAAACACCAGCTGACAATCTCGTCAACTCCCAGCTTGCGAGATCTTCCCGTGCTCACGGCGCCAGCTTTGTCAGTTGAAGGAGAAGATTTGCCTTTGCTGTTCTTCTCTCTTTCCAGGCACTCCTGCTCGTAAGCCATGGCTTCGTCTTCGCTCATCTTCGTGACGTCCACAACCAGCGCCATGCTAGCCTCATCAACGATATATCTCGTCCATTTCCCATCCTTCACTTTCCAGATAGCATCGTCACTGATTCTACCAGCTTCATGCGTCAGAGCCTAGAGCTGACTGCTGCCATTACTACTGTGTACGAGAACGCAAACCCCCAGTGCCGCACAACACAAATATCTCAAGAGCTTGATCCAGTCCTTTGGATCCTTGCCACCATCGTTGTCACTACTATCCCCATCTCCTCCATTCCCAAAATTCTTAAACCCTCCATTACCGTCACCACCACTGAAATGCTCCAAATCGAGCGCAATCTCGATCTTCCTTCTCGACTCATCGCATCTGTTCTTCCCTATATTCCTACACGAGCTCCGGCCGTGACGATCCGGGGCATCGTGAAATGCCCGGAGCAAACCTCCGATCCCCCGCGTCTGCTGGTGCGCTACAGCTAGAATCTTACCAGCACGCCTCGGATTACGCGCGGACGAGCACCGATCGAGCCTCCTCCAGCCGGGCGCCTTGGCCGCGCCTACGCCACAAGAGAACATTTGCTAAGAACCCTAAAAAAATGAACTAGATTGATTTGTTCCGAGCTCTTTAGCTCGTAGCATACATATCGAGGAGCTCATTGAGAGCTTCTCCGTGGAGCTCGGCTGGATCATAGTTCTCCAGCGTCCACAGGAGATGCTCAAACATGACAACCTCGCAAGAGATTCTCACCAGCGCGTCCTCCTCCTCCTCCTCCTCGAGATTGCTCGCCGCGGATTTTTGGACGAAGGATTTAAACAGTGGATGCTTCAAGTGGCGCGCTTCCACCACGTATCGTCTCGCTTCCTTGCCCACGTAAACCACGAACGCGTCTTCTGGAGCTCTTGCCTCCTCTTTTGCGATGATCTTGGATGCTCGCTGCGGCTGCTGCTTGTGATCAAACTCCTCCAGATCGCTCGCGCAAGTTGATAGCGGCGACGCCGACTCCAATGAAGCATACGATCGCCCCGATCGCTTGAGCTTCTTCTGCCACTTATCCACGATTCTCTTCACCTTGCTGCTCGCGCTCCCAGCCATGAATCTCTCGACGGCGCTTAGATACGCAACATATAGATGAGGAAAACACCAACACAAACTGGGGAAAAGATGGATTTTGGGAGAGTAGCTTGCTTGCTAAGAAGAAGCTATGGCGGCCATGGATTGCATCAGAGCTTCCTTCATCTTGGAAAGGATGAGTGTTTGTTCGCCGCGTTTTAATGCGGAGAATGCGAGTTGCGACAGATGAAGACACAAACGGAGTTAATACCAACGGGTTTGTATAAAGGTTGTATCAAAGATGATGTGTAACCGTCCCTCGTCCGCCATAGCCAGAGAGCAAACAAACAAACGAAGAAGAGAGAAAAAAAAAAGGGTGGCTTTTCTGGTCGCGTTCTCGTCCAGGGCTGTCAATGGAGCCCCTAGCTGTCAATGCTGCGACCGCTGCGACTTACGTATTTTTTGCGTTAGCTGGCTGGCCACTCCGACAGCCGTCTTGTTTCGCTGTTTTTTTCGCTGTTTTTTGCGAGATCAATCAATCAAGACCAAATCTCTGTCCAGGAAAGCTTGATTCTCCTCTCTTTCTTTTTGCTTCCTCGTGGTTCTAGAGATCATCTCTGGACGGAATGCTCGAAGATGCGGCCGTAAGATTGCGAGAAAGCATCAAAAGTTTAGTTTTTGCGAGCGATGGTGATCGACGAGGAGATCCTTTCGAGCCTGGCATGATATCTCTGCTCAAACAGCCAATTGCTGCGATGGATGTGTGGTTGTGGACGCCAATTGGGGTGCGTGAAGAGCAGGAAATCCAGTCGCTTTCGACACTTTCGCTTGCTTTTTATTCCAACTTGTAGTACGCGGATGAGTACGAAATTACGTTTCTACTCAGATAAGCAAGTTACGGGGTTACAGTTTGAGTATCGTGATTAGAGTTTGATTTTCTTCACAAGGACGAACGATTTACAAAAACCCAGCAGACCCACTAGCCGATCTACTCGATCTTGGTGCTGCTGGCTTGGATCCATCTCCTGTGGAGTAGAGGGCTTCCTCTAAAACCTATATTAGAGAGCTTCTAGTCCCTGTTGTAAAACTCCACAAGGTCGTGGATCTGCTCGAGCTTCGCGCACACGGGGTCTTTCGTGTCCAGCAGCCATAGAAAATGCTCAAACAAAACAGCCTCGCAGGGAATTTGGAGAGCTCCGCTGTGACGAAATCCATACTCGTCGGCGGCCTTTTGGAGCAAGGCCTTGAAAATGGGATGCGTGAGGTGCTTTGTGCTCACGATGAACCTCTTGCTTCCAGCGTAAGCTGCAAAGAATCCCTTTGGAACATCCGGTGGCGGTTGATTTGTTCTAGAGACGCTTTCTTCGTCACTGTCCAAGTCGCTCATTTGCCACGAAGGCATCCTTTGCATGCTCGAAACACTTGAGCTCGACCGTGACGAGCTCCCGGGAGATGGAGAGCTTTTGAGAGCAGCTAGAAATTTTTTGTGCATGCTACTAGCAAGGAATGATTGACTCAAAGCACACTAGAGAAAGAGAACCGAGGAAAAAAACCGAGAAACTGGGAGTTGTGGCTCCTTGTTCACAACCAAGCTTTATAGCGTGGGAGATCGAACGTAAAGAACTGGAGAAAAAACTCTTTTTTCTTTCGTTTTCCATTCTTTTTCACTTGATTATTAAAGGGTGGGCGATGCGTTCCAACTGCTGGAGCTCTCTCCAGGTGGGAAGTGTGGCTCTTTCATTTCAATCGTTGCAGTTATGGTCCTGTGCGTTGTCTCGCCTAGTAACAGGAACTTGCTGGAAATCCTAGGGACAACTCTCGTGTCACCCAACCTGGGCCTCCTTGTCGGATCCTCAAAAAACTGCTGGTTCTTTTTTCTTTTTACGCTAGGAAGGTTTGTGTCGCTGCAAAGCGGCTCCGCGATCTATAGACGAGAGCTCATTGGTTTGCTGGGCGATTTCCTTTCCATTCAAGTTGGCGTTTGGCTTTGAGGAACTAAATCGAATGTCGGTGTTTGCATTAGATGGTAGAGAGATGCATTCACTCAAGAGGCACTGTGCGCGCGCTTTATAAAAGTAATCACAATGAAGAAAAACCGGCCAAAATACTGGAGAACATGAACCTGATATCAGCGAGTGTCAACTCAAGTCGCAAGGACTGTGCAGGAGGTCTGTATTCAAGCCTCCTCTTGCTTTTTGCTTCCCTCTTTTTTCTCCAGTGTGTTCCTTTCGCCATTAAGTCGTGCTGTCTAACGTGCAGGGGTTGTGATCCTCCAGCTCCAAGCTCCAGCGAAGAAGCTGGCCGGACTGGATAGGGAACCTCACTGAATCCGGATAAAACGATTCAAAGCTTGTCATGCAACGTTCCGGACAATCGAAGAACCAAAGCCAAGCTCCGGCAATTATAAGAATCATTGCACATGAAAGAGATTGGTGGGTAGCCAACACGCTCTGGCCAACTTAACTTGGTAGCTGAATCTTCACACTAGAGAGAAAAAGGAAAAAAGAGAGGAAGAAACAATGGGGTGGTACAAATTGTACCTCTACACGCTTTGTCCTGGGATCAGAAGCTCATAACTCCAGTGGTTCCAGCGCGAATGCGACGACGACGACGAGACAACGAGATTAATCGTTCTCCAGAGATGTTGTGAATTAAAATTGCGGTGTTCTTGCTCGGGGAGCTCTCGCGGGAGCTTCTTTCTTACCGCATTTGCTGTTGTTTTGTTCATCGGGTGGTCATTGCAGGGAGGGGACCGCAAACTTAAGTGTGGCATGTGACTTTGATGAAAGAGGTGTGCGCGACAGTGAGGTATGATCCAATCTTTTCACGTTGGAGCTCGATTAGAACGGACAGAAGAACTAAAAAAACGATTCTGATCGGTTTTTTTGCTTGCCAAGAGTTTCTTTTGGCTGGTTGAGGAACAGAACTTGTGGAGGAGAAAAGGAGAGAAATGCTTGTTTACTGGTTGCTTGCATGGGGCGCTACTCTTGAGGAGCTCTGGGGAGAGGTTTTGTTGCTGCCGAGGTATTGTCTCCCCCCGAAACAACGCTGACAAATCCAATCAGGAATGTCAAGCTAAAAAAATGGTTTGTGGAGGAACCAAAAAAAAAATTGATTTTCAAGTTGCGGGGACCATGATCACTAATTTCAGCTGGTACCCTTGCAGGCTTACAGCTGCTGCTGATGATAGCTAGGCTAATGGTTCCAGCCGAAAAAAAGGAGAAAAAGAAAAAAGAAAGATTTTTTTTCTTAAAAGATAGAGTACCGGCGGTGTTCCGATCGTCCTTTCCTTGATCATCGACCTTCGACGGAACAATTAGGTACTAAGTACTGCATTCAATGCTGTTTTTCCTTTCGTTTTCATAGAGCTTTTCTGATTGACTCTGGAAGTGAGATCTTTGGAAGGTTCATTTTGAGATCTTTGAAAACTTAAGAGCGGGAGGACCACACCGCAAGAAACCAGGACCACCGGATGACAATGCTCAAGAGCTCCTGGAGGGATTCATCGCGAGCAGAGAGGAAAGCAAGAGATAGATATGTATACTTTATGCAAGCTCAAGGACTGATTTTTTTTTTTCCTTTTGTATTTTTTCTGCTCTCACAAAATTGTCATGAATCATGCTGATCTGCATGTCTGGTAGGGAGCACAAGTTGTTCCAGCCGAGTAGTAGATCCCTCCGTCACGATCTTCCCCGTCATCTTGACGCGATTTATCTCCGGCGTAGCGGAGAAATGTGATTCTGCGGATCCTGCTATAAAAGTTCAGGGTCTTTGCAGGCTGAAATCAAGCATCAGCAGTGAGCTTTCTTTTGATCTTCCGCTTTGGAAGCTTTCAGCGTTTTTTTCCATCTCGCGAAAGAAAGATCAAGAAGAAAGAAAAGTTTCTCCACTTTGAAACGAGAAAAGTTTTGGCAATGGCAAGACTTGTATCGATCCTCAGAAAGGCGCTCTCATCGAGCAAGCTACCAAGGAGCTACAGCAGCAATGGCTCCTCGAGCGGATTCTCCAGCGACAGTAGCAGTGACTGCGAAGGCAGCCTCAACTTTGCTCCTCCAAATGTCCCGCAGGGAAGCTTTGCAGTGTATGCCGGCGAGGAGAGGCGCCGGTTCTTGGTTAGAATGGAGCACCTCAATCACCCCCTCTTCAGAGCGCTCCTGGAGAAAGCTGCCGAGGAGTACGGCTTTGATCATGCGGGAGCTCTCAGCATTCCGTGCGAGGCTGTTCTGTTCGAGCACGTACTTTGGCTGCTCAACAACAATGACGCTCAAGCCAGGCAGCTGGAGCTCGACGAGCTTCTCCAATTCTACTCGTCTTGATCATCATCGATCGAAAGGGAGAAAAATCAGAAAAGTGGAAGAGTTTAGAAGGGCGAGCTTGTCGGTCGATCTGATTCAAAGCTTGTTTGGATCGATCGATTCTCGCGGAGGAGTTCTTCTCCTTTTTTTTCGATTAAAATTTAGTTAGCTAGTTCATCTTCTTCGTCTCCTTCTAGACAGTGACAAGTTCTTCGTCTAGATCCTGCTGACGTACAAAGTTTGGCCTCCGGGTAAATTCCGGATAGATTCCTTGTAATATGGGGACGAAAGGAGATCCAACGGTGCATTTCCATCGATTCTTATTTTAGGGCAGTGTTGCGCGATGATACGCGTCGCGGATGGAGCAGCGGGAGCGCCGCCTCCGCCGCTCGACTACGCGCAGCTCTTCTCCTTCCAGATCGCATTTCGCGACGGCGGCAGCGGCGGCGGCAAGGTGAGAAGGAGATTGTCACGCGATTGATTGCAATGATCGCTGCGAGATGAAACGATCTGGTATTGCAGGAGTGGGAGAAGGCGATCTTGGAAGTAAATTTTGCTGTGCGTACATTCATCTTGCTGGATAGGGAGCGCGTCGTCGTGGTTGGTTCTTTTCTTCTCCGTGCTCTTTTCACTGGAGATTTTTTGGTCTGAGCGAACACACTTATCATTTCAGACCTTTGCAGGCACGGCCGTTTGACTCGTACACGCGATGCGCGTTCGATAAAGATGTCGAGGATCCTTTCGTGTCGCTTTTCTTTGGGTTAGTCCATGCAAACATCAGATTTCTTTGGTTTTGTTGGTGTTAGTGGCGAATCTTAAAATCGCCCAGCTTGGCAGTTTACTTGAGTTAGAGCTCAACGTCCAGAACAGCGCCGAGAAGGAATGCATGCTACATCTTCTGCAGGTATCAATGCAGCAAATAAACTTTAGCGTCACTTACCGGGCTTTTGCAGTGTATCGCGAAAAATATGACTGCAGTAGAGGCTGTGCGTCAAGGCATTGGTATTGTCGGCCTGGTAAAGAGACTTGGAGAAAATGAAATTCCTCTCGTAAGCGTGTCGTACTTCTCGCAGGACAAAAGGATACTCAAATATGGAATCATTTTGCGCAAAGCAAAAGCTAAGCGGAGGAGGACAGAACGCTTTCTGGTGGTTGTACCTGGAAAGCTTCTTATGTTTGCCGTAAGTGGTTGCTTCAGGCGCGAAGGATTTCTTTAACATGGCACGTATTTGCAGGGAACAAACATACTTGGTCGACATGTGCGATCTGTGACCTCTCTTTTCCGCGCGAACGTCAAGGTAAGAGGCACGCCTAGACTGTTTGCTCTTTACTCACTCAATTTTTGTTCGTGATGACCCAGATGTCATTTAATCAGCTGGAGTTTCAAATCATAGCACATCACTCTAAGGAGGTACGCGCAATGCGCTGCAACTTTAAAAATCTAATGTTATTCTTTTGAACAGAAAGAGATGAGTTCCTGGATAACGGCTCTTGAGGAGTCAATCCAGCGTGCTGATCAAGTACGTAGAGCAACATGCATAAAGCCGGAAGTAGAAAGCAGCAAAACATTGTCCGTGTCCGAGGAGGAAGATCGTAAACGAGCACGAAGGCCGCTCCGTCCGCGTTATAGTGATCAACTCACGGGGACTTCTAACGAGACACAGGGCCTCGACGAACCACGAGTTTCAGTCCGTCAGTTCGAGGATGAAGGAAGAACAGGCTATTGGCGTCGCTGTGACAACGCCTTTGAAGAGGGCCACAGAAGAGTATCACTTTCCAGAGAACGCTTGAAAGCGGCAATTGAAGACATGTCAGATATGATCAGTCGACTGAACGTTAGAAAACGGCAAAGCTTTCCTCAGCCCTGTCTACCTGAGAATTATGTCAGACTATCGGAGGCCTATCGTCATCGCGAACACCGTCCAAGACGGCAGCAGCAAACAGACTCTTCGTCGGAGAATTTCTACACAAATGCTGTTTGCAGAGCTGCTGAGGAATCCAGGTTTAGAGGAATCTGCAACAGCAGCAGTAGGCACCGACGCAGAAGAAGGAAAGAACCCGAGAGATACTATAGAAACTGCTGGGATGATCCTGTTGCCGGTGGTGCGGTTGCTCGACTCGACAACGATGGCAGCCTTGGAAACAGGAACAATATTGAAGCGTTCAGGGAGTCGTGGAAACAGCAACCGGCATCATCAATGATCGAACTCCCGGAGCGGAGGAGAAGCTTGGCTCCTTTCATCTCGAGGAAAGTCTATTAGCACTCGTATTTTTTTCGGGGGGTACAGGACCAGCACTGTAAAGGGCGTCATCAATAAACTGGATCAATTGGGAAAAGTCCAAGCGAACGAGTCCAAAGTGTGAAGCTGCTACTGAAGTTTCGTTGAAGCAACAGGCTCAGATCCGGAAAAAAGCTTTTTTCTATCACGTCAATTCGGAGTCGACTTTCGGAAGTATATAAATCGCTGGGATGGGGAGGGTGCTGGGTCTAGTTTTGTGGCTTAATGGCGAGCACAGGCAACAGAGCTATACTACACAAGGTTGATCCAAATTATACGGGGATTGGAAAACTGGAACTGGCTAGCAGGCCGATTCCCGAGGCGCTCCCAGGCAAGGTTGTTATCCACCTTCTTTTGAGGCCCATCAATTCGACGGATCTTACCTCCCCTCTAAGTCGCCATGGCCGTCCTGTTTCCACACCAGGCTCGGAAGGATACGGGATAGTTCATGCTGTAAGTTCGCGAACAATATTTGCTGTTTTTTTTTGCTGACTTTGAGAGCTTCCAGATTGGAGATGGCGTTACCAAAGTGAAGCCGGGGCAGAGGGTGGTGCCGTTTGTATGGGAGTCAGCGATTGAGAGCGGTGATGGTTCGTGGCAAGAGTATGTTTGTGTGAGAGAAAGCATGCTCACTTTGGTGCCGGACTCCGTCTCCAACGAGGTGGCAGCACAGTTTGTCCTGAATCCGTGGACTGCTGTTGGTTTGATGAGAGACCTTCATGTCCCCGAGGGCGATTTTATGCTGCAAACAGCTGCCGGTTCCATGCTTGGAAGGTAAAGTCTTGAAAGTTCTTCTAGTTTTCCTAACTTATCTCTTTGCTTACAGGCTTGTGATCCAGCTAGCCAAGCACAAGGGGATCAAGATAATCAATGTTGTCCGACGGGAAGAGCAGAAAGAAGAGCTCAAGGCACTCGGGGCCGACGAAGTGATTTGTTCTACAACCGAAGGTAATCTCTTGTCATCCGTTTGCATTCTTCTAGATTTATACGTGTTTGTTTTGACAGATGTTGTTGCGAGAGTCAAGGAGATTACAAGTAATAAGCTCGTGTATGGAGCTTTGGACTGCGTTGGTGGAGGCATGACCAAGGTACTTTCTTTCTCCCTTTCTTACTGGGCATTCAAGTAAATGTGTACTTCTGGTTTTAGATTGTGACAGGATGCGTGAGAAGAAAGGGAACGGTGTTTCTGTATGGCGTTCTCTCCGGCACGGAAGCCACCATAAACATCTATGATCTGCTCCGGCAAGTGAAGATCAAAGGCTGGCTCGTGATGAATTACTGGGACTCTGTGGAGCACAGAGACGCTTTCATCAGCGAGGCGTGGAGGCTTTTCGAAGCGAAGGTCTTTCAGCTCTCGCCGTGCAAGAGATTCGAGCTCTCGGACGTCGAGGAGGCCCTCAAAGACGTGGGAAAAGGCGGTGGAGGTACCAAAGTACTTCTAGAAACCAAACTTTGAGAAAACGTTTTGCTCGTATGATCTGTGCCTTGGAATAAGGAATTTTTCACTGTTGTGTGTTCTAAAGCTGTGTATTAACAAGAGATAGTGTGCATGGAGAAAGGTGGTCAAAGAAACACAGACTATTTGTCTAGTGCCACAGAGTTCGCAAGGAGGATATAGCCAGCGGCATCCGCAGGACTGCCGCCACCGTCAAATATCGATTTTGCTTCTTTGTGGCTGCCACAGGCTCCCAAGAGGCACGACCGATCCAGCGAATCGGGCTCGAACGGCATCGTCTCGGCGAGCTCCCGGGCATCCACAACGTATCCCCCGCGCGCCAGGAGATCGATCGCGCAGCTAAAGTGCTGCTTCGTGGGACGCTGCTGGAAATCTCGATGGATCGAAACAAATGCAGCGCGCCCTCGGTGTAACTCGCCCGCATGGATGCACGCCCTCAGCATCGTCACGAAGGAGACATCGTTCGGAGACACTGCCTCGAGTACCATTGCGTGGAAGAGATGTAAGGCCTCGTGTGGCCTCTCGTTGTGCCCATACGCTGCCATGAGCGCGTTCCACGATACCACGCTGGGCTCCTCGATGCCATCAAAGATCCTCCTGGCATCTTGCAGATGCCCGTGCTGGGCATATGCCGAGAGCATTGCATTCCGCGTCACAGAGTTTCTTTCGTCCATTGCGTGAAAAAGATACCACGCATCTTCAAGCTGGCCAGCTTGTGCCACGGCGGACACAACAATCGTCCAGGTGACTAGATTCCGTTCCTCCATTGTGCTAAAGATCCTCTTTGCCTCGCCAAGATGCCCTTTAGAGGCAAAGGCTGTGATCATTGCATTGATGGCGACGAGATCCCAGCGCGCCATTCGATCAAACATTGACTTCGCCTCTTCCACCCAACCAATTGACGCAAATCCACCCAGAAGCGTTGTCCACGAGACGAGATTCCTCTCTGGCATTCGATCGAACAGCTCACGGGCCTCCCGGATTTGCCCGCTCTGGGCATACCCGCTAAGCATTGCGTTCCATGAGATAAGATCCCGCTTCTGGAAAGAGAATTCGAAGAGGTCCCTGGCTGAGTCCAGCATCCCTTCCTGGGAGAACGCCGCAAGCATTGCATTGCAGGCGATCAAGCTCCGCTCCTTCATCTCGCAAAACAAGGCTTGGGCCTCTCTAATCTGTCTGTTTTGAGTGTAGGCGACAAGCATCGCCGTCCAGGAGAGAACATCCCTCTCAGGCATCGCATCAAAGAGAGATCTCGACTGCGATACTTGTCCGGCATGAGCATAAGCAGAGATCATCGAGTTCCAGCACGCCAGATCCCGCTGCTGGGCGGAATCAAAGAGCCTCTTGGCATCGCTCACGCATCCGGCATTAGCGTAGGCGGATTGGAGCGCCGTATTGCAGTGGAGATCCCATTCGGGCATCGTGTCAAAGAGGTTCTTGGCATCCAGCAGATGCCCAAGCTGGGCATATGCCGTAAGCATCGAGTTCCACGTCACGAGATTCCTTTCGGCCATGGAATCAAACACCCGCTTGGAATCCTGCAATCTGCCGTTTTTGGCAAATCCCCCCAATAATGCATTCCACGTTACAAGGTTTTGTTCTGGCATCTTGTAAGAAAACTCTTTCATCTTATGTATTTGCCCGTTTTGAGCATATGCAGTCAGCATGGCATTCCAGGTCACTATGTCTCTCTCGCGCATTTCAGAGAATACTTGCAATGATTCTCTAAGATTTCCTTCTTGGGCATATGCGACTAGCATGGTCGTCCACGTCACCAGATCCAGTTGAGGCATCCTATTGTACACCTGCGCTGCGTCTTCAATATGCCCGTTTTGGGCATATGCTCTTAGCATGGAAACCCACGAGTAGATTGTCCTGGAGGGCATGGCATCAAACACTTGGCGGGCTTGCTTGACGCCCCCAAATCTCCCGTAGAGTTGGATCAGTGTGTTCGAGAGCCTCGTGTCGTGGGCGAAGAAATCCAGCTCCTTGAGCTGGGTGTGAGCCTCTCTCGTCATCGCCAGGCTCTTGCAAGATGCCAGGAGCTGGATGCAATGGTCGCGTTCTTGGAGCATGGCGGCAAATTGCGGGGCTTCCATTCCTAAATCTTTGTACATTTCATGACTCGAGAGACTCGCTCACTCAAGGCTTGGTTCTCTTGGTCCAGCCGATCCATGCGCTCCTCGAGGCATTGATTCACTTCCTCGAGGCGAGAGACGCTGTGCTGGAGGCTCTCGCAGCCCTGTTCAATCTGTTCAATATGCATCTCCAAGTAGCCATTCCTTTCCTCCAGCAGTGCAATGCACTCCTCTACAGCCTGATTCTCCTGCTTTACCTGTGAGAGGCGCTCGTTCATCTCCTCCTCCAGTTGGGTGACGTACTCCTCTAGCATCCTCATTAGAATTAACGGAAAATTCCAAGCCTCTCATATTTGCAAATGCAAAAAAAAAATCCCCTGGCATTTCAAAGAATAGTCTATTTTAATTGGGCTAAGTGAATGTTGCTTGATCACAGGTATAGTGAAAATGTAACTATTGCTTGGCATGTTGAGTTTGTAATCCGTTTAGAGAGGAAATAATACACAATTCAATGCAAAGGAGAAATAAGTTTATAAACTCTATACTTCTTTTATTGACAAAAGCCCATTAAAACCTTTGTGAATAGCTATTAGTGTGGTGGGATGGAACATTTAATGAAGCATTGATGAATGTAGAGAATGAGGGATGAATTAAATTAGTTTCAAAAGGCATGATAGTTGAAATGCATTGTGAGCATAGTGTTTCTATATCCTATTACCAAGGTTTGAAAAGGAAATGAGAAAGTTATAATAGAAATTCATGGAAATCATGATGTAGCTTATGCAAAGCTATTTGTGTATGGAAATTTATTTATTTCAAACAATCGTTAAAGTTTTGCCTTCAAAAGTCTATTTCTCTCCTATAATGTTTGTTTTACAAGTATTGTGCATTATAGGGTTTTGATCTGTTTTAATAGGATGTATTTGAAGTTATGATACATAATAATTAATAACTAATGTTAATGCTAAATGCTCATTATTCTCTCTTGTATTTAATGTGACTGATGTTAAAAAAATGATAATTGGATTTGTTTCTTTAAACATTTGAAAATGTTGATTGAAATTAAACATCAAAATGTTACACTTTACAAATTCCTCTTTAATTTATGTTCAATTGATATTTGATAATCCATATAATGGATTTTGTATGAGGCATTTTCTAATAATTTTTACAAAGTGTTTAAAATATGCCACACGTTCACTCCTTCAAACTTTGATGTAGCTGTGGTAGAAATGTATGATAAGAATCTATATATTTAACAAGTAATATTTCAAAGTGTTTGAATGTATTTGCCTATCCTTGCAATATTTGAGCACATTTGACACAAAATAACTAATCATTTTATTGAGTGCTGATTGAAAAGTGATGAGACATACAAAGTACAGAAAAGCTTATTTATAATGCAATTTCACAAATTTGCTACTATATTGTTATTTTCTCAAACCTTACTCTATTTGAGATACAAACACAAGAGCATACTCATTACTTATGCTTTGGATGGCAAACAATTAGATTGCCTTCTACTCATGCAGCTGTTTAGAAGAAAGAGCATGTACAAGTTTATGTTAACATATGTTATTTGCTTGATTCTTGTCACAAAACATATATTTTATTCTATAGACATTAAGCATTTAAAAATGGATGGTATGTTATTACTAAAAACTTGCAAACTTCCATGGTTTAATTTTAGCCTGTTTTTCTTGCTATTGTCTTCACCAAAGAGTAGCATCTATACAAATAGATTTCCAGGAGCATACCTCGTCCAGTTTCATCACAAAGGTGGAAATCTCAACCAGGAAAACGAAAAGGCTCGTGCCTCACGTCGTCCACTGAGAACCGTGCCCTGGAGAAGCCAGGAGAGATGACTCAGAATCACTGGTCTTCGCATCAGTCATCCTGGTCAAACTCACCTCCGTCAGTCCACTTCATCATTTAAAGCACAGAAACTAACCGGTGGGAAAAACGCTTGATGCGGGGCTCCATCATGTGGATTTTCTTCTCCATCTCCATTTCCATGACCTTCAGGATCTGCTTCTGTACCGCTGCTGCGCCATCTCCAGGATCGAACACGATGCCAGAACGAAAAAATGGATCCGCCACCTTCCCTCCTTGTTCCCGTCCATGAGATTGCTCCATTCCTTCGCGTGGGCACACTGGGAGCTCGTTTGCAGCCATATTCTTGCCTGCTGGTTCGAAGTGAGCAGCCGAGAATGGATCCTCTGGGTGACGAAGACGGAGGAGAGAGGCCGAGAACGGCCTTGGCTGCTCGTGAACTTCCTCAGGCGTGCTAACGATCAGAGGATCCTTCCCCATGTTTCCCTGATTTCCCTGCTGGTATGGATCAGTAGCAGGCAAGAGTGTATCCACCTGGAGGAGAGAGGCCGAGAACGGCTCACTGAAGATCAGAGGATTCTCCACCACGTTTTCTCGACTTCCCTGCTGGTCCGGATCAGTAGCACGAAGGAGTGGATCCACCTGGAGAAGAGAGGCCGAGATTGGCCTTTGCTGCTCACTAACGATCAGACAATTCTCCACCACGTTCCCCCAACATTTCTGCTGATCTGGCACTGGGTTAGCACGAAAGAGTGGATTCACCGCGACCTTGTTTCCCGATCCGGAGTCATGGCAAGCACCACCGAGAAGAGCTGAAGGTGGCAGCCGCCTTGGAGGCCTCAGGAACTTGCGAATCTGAGGATCGGCATTCAGCTGCGACGGTCGATGCTCCAGTCCATTCTCCACTTTGCTCAAGGGAATAAGATACTCCCGCTGGCCGCCGGGATGATGGCCACTCCCAGCATAGTGCACCAGGACCTCGTCACGCACCTTGCTTCTTCTCCTCATGCAGTGTATCCAGATGCCGATGATGATGGCCACCATAGCCAGCAGGAATATGACGATGCCTGCCGCGAGCAAACCGGGAGAAGTCGCGAACACTGCTGCGGCTGCTGCTGCTGATGAAGATGGTGATGCTGATGACGCCAGACACGGAGGCGGAGCAGAAGTGGCCAGGCCAGGCGTGGTCGATGGTGGCGGCGATGGCAGCCTTGGGTGCCACGTTATGGATGAAGGTGGCGGCGGCCCAAACCTCCTTGGCCTCCAAGTTATAGTGTCGTGCTTGTTGGAGGAAGCAGCAGGTGGCGGCCCTGTAGCAGCTTGATGTCGAGGTGGAGGGCTCTTCGCGGGACTCTACCGGGGTGGTGCTCTTCTTGGCGACGGTTTGGGCCTATTGTGCGAGTGCTGCTGTGGCGGTGGCGATGGAGATGAAGCTCCAGTTGGCAGCGCTTTGGACGGCGGCCCGCTACTCCTCGTGAGTGTGGCGGCGACGGTGGCGGCGGAGATCTCGCCCTCTTTGGCGACGGCGGCGCGCCACCCCTCCTGTGCGTGTGCTGCGGGGACGGCGGCGGCGGGGAAGCGATTTTGCGAGCCATAGCTATAACTAAACTTGCTTGCTTACCGGAGACAACTCTTCGCTCGACTTGCTTCCCTTTTCTAGGGTATTAGGGTTTATATAGTGAGCCGGGGCGAATATACTTTTTAGAAATGTTAAATTGTTTTCTTTTTTAGTAAATTCTTTTCTAAAGGCTGGGTCGAAGTATTTGAAAAAAGCATGCTGAGCGGCCGTAAATTTTCTGACTGCCTGTAGTTGCTGGAAGTTCTGAGAAGCGCCTGGCAATTCTGGCCCGGAATTGTCTTGACGATCCTCAAAGGGACAAGAGCGTGGTGTTTTAATCTCCATACCTTTTGTTTTTCGATTTTCCGACCTTCTAGACTTTCACCATGGTGCCACCCTCGCGCCCAGCGGCGTGGACACACTGGATAATCTTCGCAATCCTATCTGTGGTGACGTAGAAATCGATGTCTCCTGGAGTTTCTTCGCTGCGGCAGTCGATATCGATGTGCCTCCCGCCGAAGTAAAAGGCCAGCTTCTCGTGTCTCGAGTCGGGCACATCCACGATACGAACCATCTCCTTCAAGCTCTCGCCCATTTGCTGCAAACCCACCATGGGAAACAGGGTTTTTCCATAGCGGAACATCACAACCCTCTCGTCGGCCATGGCTATACAAACTTACAAACCCTAACACAATGGAATCGACTTAAATAAAAATAGAATCTTCTAGACACCCTTTTTGCTGTAACTTGGTTCCCTTTTTTATTGTATTAAAGTTTCTTTGAGGATTGTTTGTATATCCTTTATTTATTGTTTGCCTCTGGGATGAGAGGAGAGGGTCGACAGCTAATGTGGTTCTATCCTCTCGACCTCAAGTGTATACTGAGACAGGTTTTGCTTGCGCAAGGATGGACAAGAGGAGATCACTCAACGTGGTGAGTGCTTTCAAGTTTGCCTGTTCCTTTCCTAATTGTTTAATCTACAGCACCTGTTTAAGGAGCTACAAATCAGCGGAGAATCCCTGTCGCTGATTGTATCCGATGGATGGCGGCGTGCAAGGCATCCATGTGAGTGTTTTTAAGCATTTGTGGAACTTGTTCTGATCTCTTCTTTTTCTCAGTGGCCTATGATCTAGTGATTGATAGGCTGGAGTACTTCAATATCCATATGCTGGAAGCGCTTAGCTGTTCAAGTGCAGGCCTTGGTGAAGGTATCGAAAAACTTTTCAACAGGTACACATGCACACTATTGCAAGGTTGACCAATCATCAAAGTAACTTATAGTGTCGAGAGTTTGACAAGGGCAAGGATTCCCCAGATTAAATCAGTAGAGCACATGTATCTTGAGGACTGCATCCCAGCAGTGATACAATCGAGGCGTTTGTTCTTGGCATGGAAGTTAACTAATCATTCACAGGAACATGAGTGGCTGCCAAAGTTCCACTCGAATGTAATTGTTGTGAGGAAGAACATGATCTTCGTTGGTGGAGCTGGTGTCTTCAGTGTTGCCCTTGTTGGACCCCACCGAGCAATTCTTTGTGAAGCACATCAACTTGTCAACATTTACAGTGGCTGACTCCAAAGGGTCCTCAAGTAACCATGTTGAACCAATCGATGCTTCCAAATGAGATTTTGGTCATGGGACCTCCTTCGATGGAAGAGCTGGATATTTCAGTCATTGCAAGAAGTGCCGCCCGGAACTACTACAACGTGGTAGGAATTTGTGAGGAACTCTCTGACTTGGATCCAGCACAGGAGAGTGCTGTGAAGATCTATGATGGAGACTCGCTCAGCTTGGCAGTGGCATGGGGGCCAAGGTGAGGGATGGTGGAGCTGCGACACAGTTATAGAGAAGGTGGTCAGGCAACATCAATGGTGGGGCTCGGACAGAGTTATTTGTCTCGCCTAGATCCAGGACAAATCTGTGGCTTGAGATTAAATTGCTTTGGTGCTTATTAAGAAGATCCATTGACTTTTTAGTATATCTTTTATTCTGAAAACCTTTCCCTTTGTTTTCTGGATGGGTCCTCTTGAAAGTGGGTTTCAAGTGTATGCTGAGGTTTACTCAACGTGCCTATTCCTTTTCTAATCGTTCTTTAATCCACAGCACCTGTTCAAGGAGCTACAGATGAGCAGCTGCCGCTGATTGTATCCGATGGATGGCAGCATGCGAGGCATCTATGTGAGTGTTTTTTAAAGTATTTGTGGAAAGTTTTCTGATCTCATCTTTTTCAGAGTGGCCTAGTCTTTTAAGTACATGCACACTATTGAGGCTGTAGCACAATCATCAAAGGAATTTACAATGTTAAGGGTTTAATTATATCAATTTGTAGCAATCAGACAATAAGATAAGGCAAAGATAAACATAAACAAACACACGAGTCCACATTATAAAAATAATCTTTACTACATTATAATTGCATGTGATTTGAAATGTATGGGTATGGCATGAAAGTGATGGGCTTCTGCCACATCAGTATGACATGTCAAACTAGAGAAGCCCACACATGTACATGTCACTTGAAATCTAACATAGAACACTTTCTTCCTGCTTAGGTAAGAGTGATATCTTTCCCACAATCTTGACCCTGTGGGCAGTTGTGAGCTTGATCAAACAAGCTCTTGCTTGTGAGGTCTGAGGTAGGGGCTTTTTGGTCTGCATAGATGGGTGCAACATGGGTGTTTCTTCTTTTTAGAAGCAAGTGAGATCTTGAGCATGTGAATAGTTCTATTTGTTAGTTTATGTGAGAGCTCTTTACACACAAAACTCTTTCTTTGTGTGAGTCTCATTTGGGACACCATTATGCTATCTGTGTGGGTAGTTGGAATATTGTATTGGATTGCTAGTTAGTTGTGGTTTTTTTTCTTGCTTGGGCTGCAATAGAGATTCATGAGTAAGTTTTCGTTTATTTCACTTTTCTTCTTAAGCCTTATATGCATTGTACCATCATGAATGCAATTGCAAAGTTCTAGATTAAGGGATTGTGAAAAACACTACATACCTGTTTCATTTTTCACTAGTAAAATATCATAATAGTAGCCACTAAGGAAAGGAAGAAGAACAATCATAGAGCAAAAAAATATGATCAGAGAGTGTTGCAAATGTGATTTCGGGTATCGAACATTATCTGTCGGCTAGTCCTTTCGGATATTTTTTCTTTACTGCTATGACTGCAGAAAGTCAATATTGCTGGACCCGTTATTAGTCTCCGCCTAAACTAGTTGAGAAACTGGTCATCACATGTGCATTTAGATCGGAAGGGCACTAAGGAAGGAAATCTTAAGTTGTCATTTAATCAAATAAACTTGACACGGTAATGAAAAACTCATGATGTTGGCTTACATTTGCTAGTGTTGGGAACTCCCGCGATATTGAGCTTAGTCCCTCAATATCGTTAGATGATAACTTACTGTGTCTGCCAAACACCCTTGCTAGGACTTCATCTCGGATTTTTTCTTGACACTTCCATGTGTTACGACAATTCGGTCTTTCTTATATCCCTTTTTAAAGACTCATTCAAAATTCCACTCCCACTTTTGATTTTTCGAGTTAAAGCTTTTGGTCTAAACATGTTATGCTTGTTGACTTCCACTTTGACCATTGCTATGTGGCACATTTTTGGCTCCACTTTAGGGCTTAGGTATTTGTGTTTCACAGTATAAAGCATGGGCTTAAGCCCAAGCCAAATGCAAAACAAAGATAAACATATATTGCATAGAGCTAATAATATCTTAGACTAGTTAATCATGCTCAACTTATTTACTATCTTTATTATACATTTGGAACTTCTCATTAGATATGGGAATAACACCATCGTGTACAAGAAAATCTATACATTCTGTAATATACTTATTTTACAAATCTAGATACTTTCTAAAAATATCCAATCTGACTTAAATAGGACCAATATATAATAGCAAAGGTGTTTTAGTGGACATGATAAAGCTATCACTTTAATTATGAACAATTAACTTTATAGTGTCCCAAACTTGCCATAATGATGATAACCTTTATATATAATTCTTTATAAATAACTTTAACTTTTTCAACTTTTTTACCTCTGAAGTAGCTACCACAAACTTCAATTTATGATGTTTATTCTCATTATTGTATCTATAATGATCATCATAACTGAAAGACTCCTCAATGTGTTTGTTATTGTCACATTGATGAGCCATATGAAAGAGGAGATGAAAAACAACTTCAAACTCATCTATGGTAGACATTGTATATTTTTTGTTCACAACACAAAACTTTTAAAACTAATTCCACCACTAAAAACCCACATTATGCAAAACCATTTAAATAGTGATTAAAGCCTTTGCATCTAGAGTTCCTTTAGTAGCCAAGAACTTTTTTACATTGGCTAGCCAAAATTGGAAAAAGAATAATTTTTAATCAATCCATTAGGGAATTTTACTTAAGCACCACAATCTCCAACTTTGAGTGCCTCAATATGCCCATATATAGTGTTATGCATTTCTTCTTACATCTCTTATTAATTTTTATTAAAGGCTTACAACTCATCAACAACATTGTAAATAGTTAAAACCTCTATAACTCTATCAACACCACTATTGGCAAATACCATCAACATTAAGATTTTAGTGTTTATCTTTTGTCAGCCATTGCATTTGATACCAATGTTATAATTTAACATTAAACAACAAAACTAAAAGCCTAACCTTTACTACACTTTATATTGAAGTTCTTCATTACCCAACCACCCCCAAACTACCTTAAAACTTCAATATGCCACTGCAAAAATGTGAGTTTACCATGACCCATGGTGAAAATGTGGTCCTAGGGGATTAGAGATTGTCCTAGAAAATGTTAAGGTCCACCAATCAAAGACTGGGTCCGTGGGGGACAGTGGGGGACAGTTTGTTGTGATCGGTTGAGAACTCAAGTGGAGGTTATTGCAATTTACAGACAAACCGGATCACAATTAAGTTTGGTTTGGAATTTTGGCCATTAAAACGGAGCTCCAAAAGAACGAGAAAGGTTCCAGCTTTTGAGCACGGGAATGGCACCAAAGATCTTTGGAGGTTCATGAGAAGCCATCATCACGGAGACGCTATGATGCTCCACTTGCACTCCAGGAAAGGAATTTGGGAAAAGCCCGCATTTGCTACATTGCTATAGATCTAGATAGCTAGCACAGCGGGCAATCGTCACTGGCAACAAGACCAGAGATTAGAAGCGAGCACAACGCCGCGCGCTCTAGCCCTAACCCTACTCGCTGCCTCTGATAAGATCAAGTAGTCTACGGCTAGGATTGAAGAGCTCGGGTTATTATATATCTCACGTAATACTGCCACGTGTCAACTTACGAATGGGCCCTTGACTCACACGTGGCTCTAGTGCTAAGGATGCCACGTGTCAAGTTTGAGGTTTAAACTTAGGGCGATCTGGAGCGCATGGCAGCTAGAAGAATGCAGCGGCTTTTGTCACGGGAATTTCCGATCCCTGCGAGGTTTGATTGGATTTGAATGCATCGAAGCGATTTCCATGGGCGATTAATCGTTTGTAGAGCGTTCTCTACTCGATCGTCAGTTCCTGTGATGGATTCATCGTCTGCGCTTGCATTTGCGACGGTATACCCGGATGATCTCTCCACGGCGCATCCTTATCAAGTGGAGAATCTGGGTATGTGGTTTTTCTTCTTTTTGGTTTTCTTGATGCGAGGCATCCAGTGCGTGGAAAATGGGGGAAGAGCTTGAAATCTAGCAAGCTGCCGGACCCTCTCAATGGAGGAGAGTTTATCACAGTTCCAGAGGCCACAGGACACGAGTTGCCGGTAGGAGATCGTGGAATGGTTTTTCTTTCTTGTGACATGGGTTCATATGATCAGGAGTATATCGAAAGCTTGCAATCGTGTCCAAAGTCTGGGCTCCACAATCCTTTGAAAAATCCGGAGAGGTTGTAAGCTTGTGAAACTACGCGATGATCTAAGGCTGCGTTCGATCGCAGGTATCTCTTATATGGTGATATATCCGCAAGGGCGGCATCGTCTTTGAAGCACCGAGAGGTTGGCCTCACATTTATGTCTTCTGGTTTCTCACGAGATAGCAGGTTGGGCATTTTTTTGCCAGGCTGATTCAACGAGTTTCTCCAAAGAGTTATCAGCAAGCTCAGGCGGAAGTGACCGTCACGCAAAAGTTTCTGGAGAACTTCTCTGGTGATCAGGTCGAGTTCTCGCTTTACATTCGTTTCTACATTGTTTTCTTTGCTTTTGAAGTGTCACGTAGCAGTATCTTGTTGTTCTCCAGGTCAGGTTCCTTGCAAAGTCATTCGCTGCACCTGGAAACCACCTTGGTCAGCAAAGCATTGGATATAGATGGCCTTATGGTCCCGTAAGTGTCTCGGTTCTAGTTTCTGGATTTGACAAGCATGCGTCCAGGTCGCTATCATCACACCATTCAATTTTCCTTTGGAGATACCGGTGCTCCAGCTTATGGGGGCACTCTACATGGGCAATAAGGCTCTGGTGAAAGTTGATAGCAAGGTTTGCCAGTACCTTTTCTTTCTTGAGATGCAGAAAGTAGTTGAAACTTTGCAGGTTAGCGTTGTCATGGAGCAAATGCTAAGATTGCTTCATGCCTGTGGCTTGCCTCCGAACGATACTGATTTTATTAATTGCGATGGCCCGGTCATGAACAAGCTTCTCGTCGAGGTAAGTTTCTGTGTAGATAGTGCCGCTAAAAGAAAACGAATCCAGGCAAAACCGAGTATGACACTCTTTACTGGAAGCTCTCGGGTAGCAGAAAAGCTGGCTTTGGATTTGAAAGGTCGAATCAAACTGGAAGATGCGGGTTTTGACTGGAAAATACTTGGGCCAGATGTCAACGAGGTGACTGGTTTCTAAGATCTTTTAGCTGCTTTGGTTGACGAGTAGACTTTTGCAGATTGACTACGTTGCATGGGTTTGCGACCAGGATGCATATGCGTGCAGTGGTCAGAAGTGTTCGGCACAGTCCATTCTTTTCATGCACGAGGTCGATACTGTTTTCTTAAAGTTAGCAGGAGCTTAAAAGCCGTAGTTGCAGAACTGGAGCTCAAGGAATTTCGTGGAGAAGCTAAAACAGCAAGCTGCCAAGAGGAAACTGGACGATTTGACGATCGGACCAGTTCTCACGGTATTCAGCTTTAAATCCCATCTTTCAAGTCGACTAACGTCTGATGTTTTTCTCAGGTCACAACTAAAACTATGTTGGATCACATGGAAAAGCTGCTGAGCATTCCCGGTTCTTCTATCGCGTTTGGCGGAAAGCCTCTCGAGAATCACAGCATCCCAGACGTGTACGGTGCCATCGAGCCGACTGCCGTCTTTGTACCGCTGAAAGAGATCCTCAAGGACGAGCATTTTGATCTCGTTACAAAGGAAATATTTGGTCCATTCCAGGTTCGTCATCATCCAACCAAGCACTGAGTTCATTTCCAAATGCCTTGGAATGTGCATGCACAGGTTATTACAGAGTACAAGCAGTGTGAGCTCCCACTCGTCTTGAGAGCTTGCGAGAGAATGCATGCGCACTTGACAGCAGCAGTCGTCTCAAACGACGTGGAGTTTTTACAGGTAACGAAAACCCCATTTTCGTTAATAGGTCCTTTCTCAAAATCTTGCAGGAAGTTCTCGGGGAAACCGTGAACGGGACAACTTACGCTGGCATTCGAGCTCGCACCACAGGAGCTCCTCAAAATCACTGGTAAGCTTCTCGAGTTTTGCGAGATAACGAGGAAAAACTATTGTTTTGATACAGGTTTGGACCTGCTGGAGATCCACTAGGTGCTGGAATCGGAACTCCAGAAGCCATCAAACTGGTGTGGTCTTGCCACCGTGAGATCATCCAAGACTTTGGACCCGTTCCAAAGAACTGGACAAGCACCACTTCTTAGATGTAGTTCTAAGTTTGAAGCTTATCGCTAGAGAGAAGTCAACTTTAGCAATCCAAGTTACAGATTCCATTTCACTATGATACGAACGTATTTTACACTGAGATCTTCGTTTTTTCCTTCCTTTATCCCACTCCGTTTTTGCTATGAGTCGCTTCGTCTCAAGTAACTCAACAGCGAGTTTCGATTGCAAACGATGACATGGAACAGCTTGTCCATGTCACGACGCCCTCGATCCAGCCCCTCCTCGGCGCTCTTCAAAACAGCCGCTAGCTTTCGTGCTCCATCAGCAATGCCGCTGCAACTCTCGCTTTCCTCCCCAAAATCTGTGACTCCTCCCAACTTGGCCTGGAGCTCTTCCACCACCACCTCCAGAGCAGCAAACTCGACCACCAGCGGAGAAAAGCGAGTGATCTTGTGCTGCAGCGAGCTCCTCACAAGCTCAAGGAGAGCACGCAACGTCGGCGACCACGCAAAGCTGTCGGGAATCTCCCACTCTGCGATCCCAAGTGTTGCATTGCTTCCGCTAAACAGCGCCACGACCGCCCCCAGGACGCAAACCGCGACCACCTTTGCCGCATAGAGTGCGCTCAAGAAACTCCGCCTCGCCTTGTGTGGAAGATCCTTCTCAAATCCCGGACGCTGCTTCAGCATCTCTCGCAAAACGCCGCAGCACGACTTCACTGCGATCCAAGTGGTGCTCGAGCCACCGGGGGAAGTAAACTCCGCGAGAGCTTTCCTGGCTTTGGCGTACCTCTCCTGCCTTGTGCCGTGGCCGGACTCCAGCGTAGACACCGCGAGATGGAGTAGCAGTAGCCTGTGCTCCAGATCCCCCACAACCTTCCTCAAGGTGTTTAGAACGTCCAAGAGCCGGCAAGTATCCTCCAGGTACTCCGAGACCCACTGCTCGTCCCCTTCCGGGAGGGGACACTCCAAGCCGGGGATGATAGACTGTGCCTCGGAGATGGTGGTCGTGACGAGTGCCAGCGCTTGGTCCATCCAAGCCAGGCTAAACCTCTGCTTGGTCGGTGCCAAGGCCAGCTCCAAAGTTGACAGCCGCTCGACCAGCATTACGTCGAACTTCGCCGCTCGAGGATCGGACTGGATGGCGGCGGCGTTGTGGTGGAGTCCATGCTTGGGGGAGTTGTGGAAGTTTAGAGCTTGGCCGATAGTCGAGAACAACGATGGTCCGTGGTAGTGATGGTGATTCCTCGTTCTCATGATGCAAGACCTGAAAAGAATGCACATAAGTGATCGAAAGTCAAATGAGAGTGGCTCTAGAGTTACACGAAAGATCACACCGAGGGATCGTTCCAAGCTCTATGGGTCTATAGAAAAGGCTAAAAGGAAGAGGAATCGCTCCAGACATTCTGCCCAGAGCAACGATCTCAAGCTCTGGCCACTGAATTCCAGCATCTCGAGCCAGCCCCAATCTTTGAGTGGATCAGTCCTAGCGACTGTAGAAGCCGAGGCGCGAGAATCTAGCTACCTTCTTACGAACGCAAGGGCGATCCTTCGCTTTAGCTCCTCGCCGAAAATCCTCGCTGAAAGTCCTGATCGAGAGAGTAAAGAGCGACGGCGAGACCTAAGAACCTTCCAGAGCGCCACGTCAGCGCACTAAAAAGATAAATCCCTGTTGCCGTGTGGCGGCCGGATAAACATGCCACGCGGCGGTTAATACACGTGGCGTCGCCTTTTTCCTGCGATCGTGACGGTTGGAATCGAACGCGGGCGGGATATTTTTGAAAATCGGATTTTAGGGATCTTGCCTGTGAGGCGAGCGCGGCGATGTCGAAGGAGGTGGAATGCGGAGGCTGGGCCGCCAAGGATGCATCTGGTGTCTTGGCGCCGTTCAAATTCCCCAGAAGGTACCGCGCTTTCGTGTTGATTTGCTGCGAAAATCAATCGGGGTCTTTGTCTTTCCAGGGCGCCGCGTCCTACTGATGTGAAGTTCAAGATCACGCACTGCGGGATCTGCCACACGGATCTCCATTTGATCCACAACGAGTGGGGATCGTCGAAATACCCCATGGTTCCTGGGTAAGAGAAACAAAATCCTCGGCGAAGGCAGGCACTAAAATCGTGGTGATCGAACAGGCACGAAGTTGTGGGATTAGTCACGGAGCTCGGCCCCGGTGCCAAGAAATTCAAGGTCGGCGATCACGTTGGAGTGGGATGCATGGTCTTTTCCTGCCTGAAATGCGATCACTGCAAGCACGGAGACGAACAGTACTGCGACAAGCTCGTCTGGACGTACAACAGTGAAGAAGACGGCAAAATCACAATGGGAGGCTACTCGGGATTCCTGGTGGCCGACGAGAAGTAAATTCCTGTCGACGATGGTCGGAAAGAACAGGTTCTAAGAGTCTGAAGCGAGTGGACTGGTGTGCACAGATTCGTCGTTCGGGTTCCAGACAATCTTCCGCTGGATGCCGCAGCGCCGCTGCTATGCGCCGGCATCACGGTCTACAGCCCGATGAAACACTTCGGCATGACGCAGGCCGGGAAGAACTTTGGAGTGGTCGGGCTCGGTGGTCTCGGGCATATGGCCGTCAAGTTTGGCAAGGCTTTCGGGATGAAAGTCACGGTGATCAGCACCTCGCCCAGCAAGGAGAAGGAAGCTCGGGAAGTTTTGGGGGCTCACAACTTCATTGTCAGCAAGGACTCCGCTCAGATGAAGGTAACAAGTACTTTCTCTTGATTTTTCTCCCGAGAGCTAGAACTTAACTTTGAAGTTTTGGATTCCAGAAAGCTGCGAAGACAATGGACTACATCCTCGACACGGTGTCAGCACCGCATCCGCTGGATGCCTTGCTTGAGCTTCTAAAGATCGATGGAAAGCTCGTCATGGTGGGATTGCCGGACAAGCCCCTGGAACTTCCAGCGGGAGTGATCATCTTTGGTACGTACAAGAACTTTTCCTTTTTGTTTTCCACCGGAGGTAAGAGAATGTGGATCGACCAGGTCGTCGATCGCTGGCCGGGAGCTTCATCGGATCCATCAGAGAGACGCAGGACATGCTGGATTTCTGCGGCAAGAACAATGTCACGTCCATGATCGAGCTCGTCCCAATGGACTACGTCAACAAGGCCATGGAACGCCTCCGCAAATCGGATGTTAAGTACCGCTTCGTGTTGGACGTGGAAAAGACTTTGAAGCCATAGAAGCGATAATAAAGAGAGATTCCCAAATTAAGAGACCTTTTCGCGCGAATATGCGTCGCCTAATTTTAGCAAGTTTGAAGGACAGGAAAATCGCGCGGGAACGTTCAAAGATTCCCATCCTAGGGTTCATTGACAGATGAAAGAACTTTCCCCGCATAGACATCCTGTCTGGCCCGCGGATTTTGCGCACGGAATCGCCGATTGGCTCCTCGCGCAGCAGATCCAATCGCCAAATTGCCAATACCAATCCTCCCTGCTCGTCCCCAAAAAGCGTCCCTTCGATCCGGCCAATGAATTGGCGCAGCAGGGGAGCTAGGGATTTTCGCCCCGTCTCCTCCTCTCTCTCTCTCTCTTCCTCTTGTTTCCCACCACGATCCATCGCCAATCGGATTGAATGCGTCCATCGCTGATCCCCATGGCTCCTGGGAGGCATTCATATCTAGCTGCGGCCTCATCGTCTCCCCCTCTCCACCAGCAGGATACTTATATCCCTTGTTCTTCGTCGTCGATCGCATCGTCCTCGCCTTGCTCCTCCTCCTCCTCTTCATCCTCCTCCTCTCCTCCGCCTCGGCTCATCGCCGCTAGCAGCAGCAGCAGCGCCGCCGCCATGGTCAAGCCGCAATCGTCCTCAAGCGCGTCCTCCGCGATCGCAGGCCCCCAGCTCTCCGCGATCTTGCGGCCCCAGCTCAAGCGATCACGTAAAGGTTGCATGAAAGGTAAAGGCGGCCCTGAGAACGCAGCGTGCCAGTACCGTGGAGTCCGCCAGCGGGTATGGGGGAAGTGGGTCGCCGAGATCCGGGAGCCCAACTGTGGAGCTCGCATCTGGCTGGGGACGTTTGACACCGCCGTGGAGGCTGCCAGGGCTTACGATCAAGCCGCCTTGAAGTACTTCGGCGAGAACGCGCGTCTCAATCTCCCTGATTCGCTTCCTCCATGGCCGGCTCTTGTTCCTCCTCCCACCGCCACCACGTCTCCAGCACCAGTCTCCAAGAGGGCGATCAAGCGAGGACCGGTCGATCGCAAGCTCCTCCCCCCGCCTCGCGCCGCGGGGAGCAGCTCTGGTTCCTCGATCGTCGGGAGGCCTTTGGTTTCTTCCGTGCCGCCCGCCATCGCCGACCTCGGGGAGCCGATCATGCCGATGGTGCCGATCGCGTTCAACGTTTTTGGGATCTCCTCGGCCTCCGCGGACGAGGCGCTCCTCAATCTGGCAGCGCCCACCGCCTCCTCGGCCTCGTCTATCCCCAACACCGAGCACAGCGGCAGCGACAATTCCACGCTCGCATCGCTCAACGCGTATTCCTCCACCGAAGACGACATGGAAGAGGTATGGAAGGAGCTATCCAACGATCAGATCGATGGATTCTCCCTATCTTCCTATAGATTCAATTGATTCTTTGCTAGATTTGTCTGCAAGCACTACAAGAAGTCTGCCTGCCTACATGTACATATATATATATACGAACGATTGCTTGTTTTTAACTCGTTATGATAACCTCTCTTTCTTTGATCATCGCGTTAGATCGCGCGTCGCGGTCGCCACCATCTCCAAAATCTCGCAAAAGTCCGGCCTGTCCAGGGGATTGCTCGCCCAGCACTGGTGGATCAGGTACTTGAGCAGCGGGAAGCAATCCAGCGGCACAACCGGTGCTGGCATCGATCGCGTTGTTCTGGATCTAAGCGGCGTCTCCTTTTCCTTGCCGATCTTTTGATCGCTCGTTGTGTGGCACGAGACGAGCTCGCAAAGGAGCGTCCCAAAGCTGTAAACGTCCGCCTTGGGAGTAATCGCGGATTTCTCCAAATCAACCTGAATCCCACCAAACATTTTCGTCCGCATCAGTCGCGTAAAAAGCTCTGGAATATATATAATTTTTTTTTTCGCTCCACGCTAACCAGATTCAACGGCGTCAATCAATCAATGAACGCTCACTGACTGACCTCGGGTGGCACTGGCCATGAAGTCTTGTCCTCCTCCTCGCCATCCTTAAAGCTCCTCTCGTCCTTGGTAGGCGATTTGATCGCCCTCGCGATTCTCAGGCCACCAATCACCGCGCAGCCATTGTCGTCCAGGAGAATGTTGGAGAGCTTCAAGTTGCTGCCAAGCACCAGAAGAAAAAACAAACAGAGAGAGAGAGAGAGAGAGCGTCAGGACTGAGGCCAACTTGACCAGATCTTTGCAGAAAGGCAAGAAAACAAAGAGCGAATCCATCCCACGCCAAGCACACACAAAAAACACACTTGCCTGTGGACGATCCCGCATTCGTGCAAGAACTGCATCCCCTCGGCGATGTCGCAGGCCATGCGCAGCACGGATCGCAGCTCGATCTTCTCGCGCCTGTCCACCAGATCGCGCAGCGACCCCCCGGAGACGAGCTTGGACACCGCCCATAAGTTCCTCCCATCGATCCAGATGCCGCGAATGGGCAAAACATTGGCGTGCGCAAACCCCGACCGCGTGCACAGCCACAGCACCTCCTCCTGGAGCTCGCGATCGCCATCCCCTGGCGGGTTGATCAGCTCCAGCGCCACAGCCTCGCCGCCAAATCTCGCGCGCGCAGTGGGCATCGCCTCCTCCTCCTCCTCCTCCAAGCCGCTCATCTTGGATGGATCCAGCGCCCACTGCGAGAGCTCCTCCTTGCCGCTGGCGACGTCTCCCGATGCATCGATCCGGATCCTCGCGCCCGCCACCGCGTCGATGCTCAGTCGGTGTGAGACGAAAGAGATCCGGCTCTCGAGATCCATGTCCGCCGCCACCGCCGCCGCGGCGCTGGGAATCGATTTGCTTGGGTTGTGGACGAGGATCTGCTGGGATGCCGATGAAGAGGAGGATGATCCATAGAGGCCGAGCGCCAACCTTCTTAGCCGGGATTTCTTGGCCGCCGCCTTGAAGATCTCTTGCATTCGGTCCAGGCGCATGTATTCACTGGCGCAGTGGACCGATGCCATCCCCAGGAAGAGCGCCTTGCGGCAGTAGACGCTGGTGTGCGTCACGGGGATCGCCGCGCGCTTGAAAGCCCACGCGATCGAATGCTTGGTGATGGGGACGCCCATCGTCGCGAATGTGACCGTGAAATCGCTCTCTTGATCCTCCTCCCACGGCGCCGGGGACGCGATCGATGGCGGCGAGCTGGCCATGAAGAGGGATTCGTCGCTGGCGTTGCTGGATCGAGCGGCGGCATTGGCGGCTGTGGCGGATCTTCTTTCTTGGATGATGGCGATGGCGATGGAGCCGCTGTGAGGGCTCATGCGCGCTTGCTCCACCAGGCGGATGTGCAAGAAGACCTGATCGCTGCCCAGGCCGGCCTGCGCATAGCTGCAAAGAAACAAGGAAAGATCTCCGCTCAACATTCTAGATCGATCAAGCAAGAACGAGGAAGAAATATTTCGAGAGGGATCTTGCGATACCTGAGTGGCAGCGATTCGAAGTGCCGCCGGATCATCGAGATGAGCCTCTCCGGCAGCTGGCTCCCCGGATGCCGCTGCATCAAGCTCTCCACGATCGCATTCCAAGCGGCCTTCTTCTCTTCGCGGCGGATCTTGATGGCGCCGCCGACGCTGCCGCCGCCGCTGTGGAGATAGGAGCACACAGATCTTTGGAGGCGCTTCCATCTGCCGCCGCCATCGCCGCTTCCGCGATTCTTGCCGCCGAGATTCGAGGCGGCGGCCGGTGACAGTAGCGGGCAATCGTCGACCGCGAAGAGCATGCGATGATCCAGCATTCCGGAATCATCCCCCCAGCTGATCTTGGCGCTGTGGCTGTGGCAGCTCCAGCAATCGACCGTGGCCATGCCGCCTCCAAATATCGCGATTCCTGGCCACCGCTGCCCGGAATTCGCCGCTATCGGAGGGCTATCGGATGGATCTGGAATGCTTTATAATCCACGCAAGAACACAAGGAAACGATGCATTCTCGCTTTTAAAATGGCGCTCTCATGTGGAGCACTCGATCGAGCGAGAAAAAAAAGGGAGAGAACAAGGGCAATGCAATCAACGCGGTGGCATGTAACTCTCCTCGTCCGCCATGGATGGATCGATCTCGAGCGAGCAAGGCGCCAAAAAAACACCGAGGCACTCACGAACGAGGAGAGAAAGAATCCGTTAAGCGAGAAAGGGAAGCCAAAAAAAATGGATTCACTGGGATTGTCAACTTCAATCCTTGCTGCCCCGCTCAGATCGCTCGCGCGCTCGCTCGCTCGTAGCGCACTGATGGTCCATTCCTCGCACACTCGGATCAGATCACGGAGAAGGGGAAGGAATCGAAGAGAATCGCGCCAGGAATTTTAGGGTTTATCCGCGCCATACGTGGCACTTGCATACGTGGCACGCTTTGCTTCCCCGAGGGAAAGAAATCCCCTGTCTCCCACACACTTGGAGGAAGATTTTTTGGCGATTGCCTCTCTCGATCGAAAGCCATTGCCCGCTCGCTCGAATGGCAACCACACAAGTTACTCACAAGGATCCGAGCTCTCAGCTCTCTCGATCGAGCAGCGAGCGACTATGCTATATCGATTTAATCGTCTTTTGGTTATCTTCCATGATCGAGATCTCTCTCGCGCGCTCTTTCTGGCCCCTTTCGCTGCTCTTGGTTCTCGAATCGGGCCTGCGCTTCATTGATGAATGGCGTGGGAGTCCGAGCCACTGGCGTTATCGAGTCGTCACAGTTTCGCGCTGGCACACCAGGCCCGCGCAGGCCTCTGCCGCTCCCAAAATGTGTGTGGCTTTGTGTGGAGCTGTGATGTGGAGCGTGAGAGTAGTGTGTGTGTCTCCTTTAGCTTCAGTCCTGTCCTCGCTGCCCGGGAGAGATTGAGGCCTTTCTTTCCAGAAGTGTGCTAAGTAGAGTTTCTTCACTGCAATTCTTTCTGGTAGCAAATCCATCTCTATCGAATGCAAGTGCTCGCTTCCTTTCAGGAAAAAACGAAAAAAAAAATCGATTTTGTTGCGAAGTACCATTGGCCACTGTGCAAAACGCGCCAAACCAAACTAGTGCTGCTGCTAGCGGAGCGAGCGAAGCCTTTTCATCGTCCTTTTCCTCAGTCTCTAAAACTAGAGCTTGAATCAATGCTGCTGGACAATGCAAGACTTCCCACCCCTCGTACGCTATCAGTAGATTTCCGTGCCTAGATTTGCCACTGCCGGTGCTGCTGCTTTCCGCTACGCAAGTATCTCCCGGGGCTCTTCCTCTCCAGGAAGTTTGGCTTCACGATCGAGCATGAAACTCATGTCACGATTGCTCACCGCTTTCTTCAGATCACAAATCCTGCGTAAACATCATATCTCTCGAGAGTAAGAGTTACTAAGGAGTCACAAACCTGAAGAGTATATGGACGTCTACCATGAATAGAATCCTCCTCTGCAATACTTCCCAAGAGCTCAAGTCAGAAAAGGATATCAAACCATTTACTGTGACAAAGTCGAGCTTCCTTCAGCTCTTGGACGAGATGTTAACTCTGCCTAGATGGACAACTAAGTGTAAGCTGGAAATGTTTTTCAAAGAGCTTTTAAGTTGTTTGTGCGTATAAACATTGTAGGATTACCTTGGAGAACTTATTGAGCCGGAAGTTTTATTGGATGCTTTCGCAAGCTATTCCGTCGGAAAATCCGGCTGGAGTCGTGGAACCGACTGCCGCACTTCTTCCAGCTTGTGAAGCTCCTCCTTGAGCCTCCGGAGTGTTGGATATGGCGTCTGTGTGCAAAACATATAAGATTTTTTTTGCCTCTTGATGAGATGGACGAGAAGCTTACCATATCGACCTTGTAACGCTCCGCGTTGCCGATCTGTGGGATGACAAACACATCAGCCTGGAGTGACAAGAACCAAACGAAGATCCCGTCAGTTACGAAGGACAAGTGCAAAGATTTTCTAGAATGAAAGAACATACGAGGGTGAGTGTGTCTCCAAAGCAGTATTTTCCCGATGTCTTCTTCACGATCTCCTCGAGAGCTACATGAAAGTCCAAGACACTTGTGAGTTGCGGGGTGTGAAAGCAGAAAGCTCACCGTTGAAACCAATGACAATCCAGTGTTGCGCCCACTTGAGTCTCTCCTCGTCGCCAAGTTTCTCCTTGATCATATTCTGCCAAAGAGCAAGGAAGGATTCAGCCTTGCTGTGAAAAGCAGGCAAAACTTACCATAACGCGGCCTCCATTCTGCAGAGGCTGAATATTTGACGCGATGAGATTGACAATCTTGCAAATGTAACAATCGAAACATGAGAAACAAATCGAGCTAAAACCGATAATACTTTTTACCTGGCGAATTGTCGCTCGCTGCTTCAAGTTTTTAGGCAGGAGTGGCTTCTCTGGGTATTTTTCTTCCAAATACTAGCAATTCCACAAGAGATCACTTCCAAGAGAAGAAAAAACAATAGCAAACCTCCACAATTGCTACAGAGTCGATCAAAAGTCCATCTTCTTCGGTTTCTAGAGCAGGCACCATACCCAAGGGATTGATCTTCGAAAACTCTGAGAATCACAAAGAATTTAACCCCGAATGCCACACAAAACAAACTCTACCATCGTCGAGCAGGCCATTTGCGAAACCCACAGCCTGGTACTCGTATGGAATCCCTGATCAAGTAGAAAATTGCGATCACATCCAGATGGAGAAAGAGAAAACCTTTCAATGCAAGGGCCAGCCTCACTCGCCAAGCACAAGAGCTCCCCCAAAACGTGTAGAGCCTCATCTCCCTCCACAAAACCCTAGATTTTAGAACCAATTTAGCTATATCTCCGCCACATCACTCTCTAAGCTCCAATGGTTGTGGCGATGGCGCTCCAGGCATCGCCGGCGCAGGCCTCGAGCGTGAATGCGGTGCGCCTGGGATTCGTGGCAGGATCGTCGCCTCCCGGGAAATGTAGATTAGGGTTCGCGAGGAATTCGCAGCAGCAGCAACGAGGAGCTGGGTCTCTGGTGGTGAGGGCGGCGATCTTGGAAGCCCCCGGCGTGGGCGTGGAGCGCGTCGACATGAGCGATTTCGTGAAGAAGGCCATGCCCGGAGGGATTGCCGCACAGGACCTCTTGGGCACTGGGCGGAGGAAGCGCGCGATTGCCAGGGTTTGCCTGGTCGAAGGCACCGGACAGTATGTTATCAACAATAGGACTGCCCAGGTATGAGAATCCTCCTCTTCAGTTTGCAAGGAGGAGGAGAAGATAGAGATTGTTCTTTAGAAGAAGAAGATAACTGAGCTGACAAGCTTCTCTTTCGATGGCCAGGAGTACTTGCAAGGAAATCCATTGTGGCTTTTCCACGTAAAGCTTCCACTCCGGAGCCTCGGCTTCGAAGGAAAGTACGACACCATCGTCAAAGCGCACGGTGGTGGTCTCTCGGGCCAAGCGCAGGCAATCCGGCTGGGGATCTCGCGATGCCTTCTCAAGATCAACGAGTCCCACCGCCAGCCATTGAGGAAGCTGGGATTCTTGACAAGAGACCCGCGAAAGGTGGAGAGGAAGAAGGCTGGCAAGCACAAGGCAAGGAAGTCTCCTCAGTACTCCAAGCGTTGAGACGTAAAAGCAAAAGCATACCTTTCTTGGTCTCTTCCTCCCTTTGCCATGGATGGATTTGCAGCTCCAGCTTCTTGTGTGGTGCTGCTCAAGAAGAAACGCTGTTCTATAAGTTCCTCATTCTGTAACGCGCCCGGTTTGATCCGTCTCGGTGCTCGCCAGTGATTCATTGCTCGCCTCCGTGACCAGCTTGTGCTGTGGATAGAGCCGAACGAAGTGAGCACCTATCCGAGAGACGTTGTGTCGAAGTATGGAGAGGAACTGCGTCTCCCAATCTCGACCTGGGATGTCTTTGTTCTCTTCGGGTGTAGCCTGAGAACTCTATCGGTCAGTGTGGAAGTTTGGCTTTGGAAAGCAAGAGTACCTGGTGAGCGGAGTTGGTTTCGGAAGGATTTTTGGCTGAAGCTAGCTCGTTGTGCATGCACCGCCAGATTATCAGCAGCAGTGTCGTCACGTCTTCGGTGCTGATTAGCGCGATTATCTCACCACATGACGCGAGAGGTTGCGGAAGCCAGCGAGCGGACGTGACGAGCTGAATGATGTTGAAGAGCTGCATTCTGTCCTTGTCCTGGAGAAAACCAAAACGTTTAGAGCGTCGAGTGAGAGAAGGTTTTCTTCAAGTTAAGCTGACCGCGGAAGCAGTTTGCTGACGGCGAAATGCTCCATACCAGTGCGAAATAGAGTCCGCCAGTAAAGCACGGACAAACTCTGCACAGGCTTCGAGCTGTCTAGCTTGTCCGTGTTCCATGACGAGCTCGAGCACCTACAGAAGTTCAATTCTTAGGACGGCAGAATCAAGCAAGCTCTCCAACCTTGAAAAGGAGCGGGTTTTGATGAAAGCACTCGGTGATGAACGTGTGTCGAACAAAAGCTACATGTTTTGGAAGAACCTGGCAAAAGAGGAAAACAGTTTCAGACAAATAAGATATAAACTTTGAATACACGCACCTCCTCATACTGTTCCATCGTGATAGAGATCTCATGTGGTGTTTCCAGTCGATCAACCAGCAGTTTTTCTAGGATTTCAACTGGATGGCACGGCCACGCTTCTAGCTTTTCTTGATGTCGTGCAATAGATTTTCTGAAAGATTGCTCTAAGAGACTGCAAATTTCGGTGAAAGTCGGATTTAGAGCTTCAGTTCTCTTAGAGTCGTTTCTGCTCTCCATGCTATGAGTGATACCTGGCAGGAATACCATGCTGAGAAAACACAAAAATACAAACAGACAATGTAGTCTACCTGAGCTTTTACTACAATCATCCAACTGCCGCTGCTTTGAAAATATGAACTCCATCCTTCCGTAGCGATCAACATTTCCAGCCGCTAGTGCGATCGTGGTTTGAAATCCTGGCTTTGACATCAGATGCTCCACCTTTGAGATATCAACTGTAATAAAAGAGTGTTATTGATATACACCAAAACGTCCAGGTGCAAATGAAATGCAAATGCAAGATAGTTTCATGCTGTACTCACGCACTGTTTGAAGACATTCCAAGTTGCCTCTTAATGCCAGCTTCAAAGGAGAAATTCAGTAGGATGGTCACCAACTGCAGCAGTAGACAAGTCAAAACACATTCTATAAGATAACTTGTTCGTACCAAATTAAATAGCGCAAAAGAAAATGAACCCAGGTGAGCTATGATTCTTCTCAAGATTGCAGCTTCTCGTAAAAAAATCCATCGGCTATCAGTAAGCGTATAGTCAGAAATATTGTCCATCTTTTTTAGACGATAAAACAGCAATCCTAGTGCTCCCTGCACGCACACGTAAATTTACCGCAGTTTTGACCCTTCACAAACCTTAAGGTGACGAGAAAGGTCTTCAGATGACATAGTTCCTTCCATGGCAAGAGACTGAAGAACACCCAGCGTATGCAAGGAGCTTTCGGCATTGTCAGCTCTCTGCAATAACGCTAGAATCCCCAGCCATTTTCCATTCAATGCGTCGCATAAGTTTTTCAGTGAAGACCTCCAAGCAGTTCCGACAACATGCCGGCTCCAAAAGGAAGGATTCAGAAGTTGACGGATTGCCAAAATTCGCACCAATACCTACGCAGCGGATTAGTAAGTTATTTCCAAGCGAAGAAAGCAAGTACCTGAGCGCTATCACAGACGTGAAGCTGGTCGACAACCTTCTTAGCCCAAAGTGTGAGGATCGCAGGAGCTTTGCCCATAACTCCAAGCATCTGTGTTAGCGTCACAAAGATTGCCAAAACTTCCGCATTTCCGCCGTGTGCACAAGCTTGTGCCAGAAACTCAGTGGCTGCTTCATTATCGGATCCCAGTAGCGTAATCTGGCACGTCTGTACCAGAGCATCCCTCGCATAGACAGGTTCCGACTGACAGCTCGCCGATGTTCTAGAAAAGATATTGTTCCAGAGTCTTTGCGTGTTCTGCACCAGACTTTGCAGGAAGGAACTGCTGACTGAATTTCCTGGAGCGTTATAGCTATGAGCAACGTTCAGCTCCAAAAACTTAAGCATACCTGCTGCTTGCATCATAACAAAAGACGATAATCTCTTGTTCAACCACTCCAGTAATGCGGGATCGACTTTGCTGACAAGCAAAACTATATCAGCAGCAACAGGCGACAGCTGCTCGAAATGCTTGATTATGAGCACGGAAAGCCACGCCCTGGTATGACATCCGTCTAGAGCAGGCTTATACTCCTATAAAATACAGTGAGAAACAAAAATAGGCAGCACGGTTAATCGCATACCAATTTGCTTGTCCAGAAGACTGGCAAAAAAACATGCCTGAAATTCGCAGCTTTCCAAAACTTTTCCAGGGACTCAAGCCCGACACTCGTCACCAGCGCGGTTGCTACAGTCGCGAGGAACTTCGGACAGAGTGCCGACTGCACAGCCCATGCATGCATCTTGTACTGAAACTCACTCCCATCGTCATTTTGCATCAAAAGGATCACTGCAGGTACTACCAACTCTGGTACCCTGCACAGAGTGAAACTTAGTCTAGCAAAGATATGAAACCCCATACCCTCTTACCTTGAGGCAGCAAACTCAAGAATCCCTGCTTGCTTGACGTAAGGAACGATGGACGCATCCTTCGATTTGTATTCTTTCACAAGGACGTCGTGCATAAGTGACTGGAGAAAATTTTCTGGCTCCGCGGCTGTGAGATACGCCAGCAGCCAATCGAGCTCCGGGAGCTCGATCAAATTCTCGTCACGGCTTGTCGGATTGGAGCACAAGACCTCTTTAACCATCACCCAATGTAACCATAGATAGTTGACGCTGCCGTCAGCACCTCCTTCTGGAGACTGATCTAGGCTCAAGAGGAGACACTGGCTGACAAAGGCAACCAAGGCTGTGGCGTCCAACGATCGCATATTGGATGAAACACGCTCGGCCATCCAGTTTCCAATCTCGCCACACTCCACCATCTTGAGAAATCCCTGCAAACTCCACCTAGAGGTAGAATCCAGCCTCGGAATTTTGCTGCTTGGATTAGCCAGAGGGGACTCCGAGACTCTCCTCTTGCCGCTGCTGCTACTCGACGCCTCATAACCAGCCGCATTCTCGACGGCTTCACGCGATTCCACCCTGCCACTGCCGCTGCACTGAATTCGAGCCAGCATCTGCATACCCCATCGCAGCGCCTCGCGCGTCGCCCGCGGATCGGTGGCATCTAGTTGCAGCGCCTCGAGTCGCGCCCGACATTGCGACCCAATTTCTCCCTCCTCCTCCATAAACCCTAGAAAGAATATTCTCCAACCCGATAACAAGAAAAAAAAAGTTACTCTTTTCAAACGCCATGCCAAGTCATCAATCCGGCGGCATCGTCTGGACCAACGGCTCTTTTGCGTACGGACTGCGGGCACGTGGCGCCGCGCGAGTGGCTCGCGCTCGCGCTTGTCCGCGCCCGTATGGGGGAATGCGAGGCGTCTTGGAGCCCAAAAAAAGAAAAAAGAAGTCGTAGGTGTTAGCTCGCTCTACTGTGTTGTTATTTTGCGCTGGCTATGGCAGCTTTGTTTTTACCTCTCCGCTTTAGGGCTCCTCGCGCGCGTCCTCCTAGGGCTTAGCTTCTCCCGCGGCGATGGTGTGAAACGGTGCCGCATTGGAGCTTCAGAGGCAATGCGGGTGAAATGCCGGGGGCGCCGTGAGATTGGTACGTGTTTTCTCGAGCTCCACTGGAAGCAGGGATTTCGAAGAGCGGAGCAGGGATTTTGACGAGATCGTCAGCTCCGGGGCGCTGGAATCTGGCACCTTTACGGCAGAAAGCAAGGGAAGTGGGAGGAGGAGCTAAGATGATGGAGGGCGGGCAGAGAGGCGCCCTAGTGGTGTTTAGCAGCTCGCCATCGCCGCTCCCATCGCTGCAGCAGTGCTTGTCGCCGCTGCCACTCGACGCCAAGCTTGGAACTCCGGACGCCAGCGCCACGAACTTCCAGCCCTGTTCGGTGGCTCTCGCCCCGCCGCCGCTGCCAGCGCCGACTTTTCCATTCGCTCTCGCGGATTCCAAGTCCCTGGGAGCAGCGCCGCTCGCGATGGACCCACCGCTGGTCGCGCTCAACGATCCAGCGGTGGCGGGCGGCGTTGGGAATGGCAGCGCCACAGTGACCGAGGCGGAAATGGAAGTGGAGGAGGATAAGAAGCAGCGGGACAGGGAGCACAAGAAAAGATCGAAGAACTGGACGAGGCCCGAGACGCTCAAGCTCATCCGGCTGAGGACGGAGCTGGAGCCTCGGTTTGCGAGGACGGGAAGGAAGACGGAGCTGTGGGACGAGATCGCGGAGTCGCTCCAGAGGGAGCGATTCTGCCGGGACGCGCAGCAGTGCCGGGACAAGTGGGAGAAGCTCACCGCCGGGTACAAGGAAGTCCGGGACGGTGTCAAGGAGAGGGAAGATAATCCTTTCTACGACGAGCTCTACCCGCTTCTCTCCGGGAAACTCATCAAGAAGGCCGCCAGCACCACTGGCAAGGAAAAAGAGATTTTTGGGATGGACAGTGGTGGCGAGGCTCAGCTTCCCGAAGGTGGCGGTGGTGGTGGCGGCGGTGGTGTCTTGTTTAAAGATGTGCTCGACTTTGAATCGGGGTCGAGGGGCGGAGACAAGGGCACGACCAGGGACGAGGAGCAGGAGGACTTGGAAGGGAGGCCTCCGACTGCGAAGAAGCGGCGGAGGGTGCCAAACAAGTATGTCGCGGTGACGGACCTGCTAGCGGTGCAAAGCCTGCTCGAGACGGTCCTGGCGAGGCAGCAGAGATTCTTCCGGGACGTGCTCGAGGCGATGGAGCGGAAGGAGCAGCAGCGCGAGCAGCTCCGGCTGGAGAAGGAGGAGAAGTGGCGGGCCGAGGAGAGAGCTCAGCGGCTCGTCTTTAACAACGCGATGGTGGCGCTCACGCAGAAGCTCGTCGGGGAGAGGCTGGGTGTGCCGTCGGAGAGCCTGATGGTGTTCCCGCAAAGCCCCGACGGTGGCGGAGCTCATCAAGGCGGCGGCGGCGGCAGTGGCGGGGGCCCGAAGAAGCGGAGCAAGAACTGGAAGCGGACCGAGGTTCTCCAGCTGATCAAGCTCCGGGGGGAGATGGAGAACAAGTTCACCAAGAGCACCCGGAGAGCCGCGCTGTGGGACGAGGTGGCCGACTTGCTCAAGGCGCAGGGGATCAAGCGGGACGGGAAGCAGTGCCGCGAGAAGTGGGACAAGCTCATGGCCGAGTACAAGGACGTTGCCGACGGCAAGCGCGAGCGAGGAGAGAGCCACTACTTTGCGGAGCTGACGGCCATCGTCACCAAGCCACCGGAAGACTTTGCTGGTGGGAAGAACGTAACGTGAGAGAGCTTCCACCGCCACCAAAGTTTTGTAAGTATAGTATACCATCACTCTCCTCCAGCGACACACCGAGCTTGACGAAGGGATTTCTTCACAGCAGCAGCTCCCGAGCTCGAGGATGATCAACACTGCCCAGGGACAGGCCGCCATTCGGATTGTACAGGGAAAGAGAATGGCGGCCGCCGGCGAGATAGCTTACTTGACAGGGGTGCGAGTAAACGTGACACAGCACCCTTTTGATCGATCGAGCTCTTCTGTGCTTCACTTGGAACTTTTGTTGCTTATATTTATTTTTGATGAAGCTTCACTTTTGATGAGAGGCTGCAAGCATCCATCCGATCAGTCAATGGTGTGTAGGAAATCCTGTTTGATACTTTGTGGGAGAGCGTTTGTTTAGTACTCCGTTTCGAGCAAGCCGTCGATCAATCCAAATTCCATAGCCTGTACGTTTGATTGAAGCGTCAGCGCAGGAAAGTACAAAAGACTTGGCTACCTCGGCTGCCGAGAAAAAATGGTCACGCTCTGTGTATGTTTGGACTATCTCCAGTGGCTGCCCAGTGAAAGCCGAGTACATCTTATCGATTTTCTGGAGCCAAAAGACAAACGCTTGAGATTACGAGCAAAAGAACTACAAGCAGAGTTCTTACATCTCGTGATGCTACCACTTCATTCACTTGCCTTCTCACATCCTCCATCGTTCCCTGATCAAGAAAAGAAAGACTTTTCGAGTATCCATCTATAAAATCAATTGCTACTTACACCACAGCCTCCTTGAGGTTGATGGATCATGACTCTGGAGTTTGGCATCGCAAAACGCAGGCCTTTCGTTCCACCGGCTAGAATCAAAGCTCCTTGACTTGCGGCCATGCCGAAGCACACAGTGCCCACTCTTGGTTTGATCTACACAAGAAGAAAACCATGTCTAAAAATCCTGGCAAAGTATTCTCTTCCTACCCAAGACATGCAATCGTAGATGGCAAGAACGGAGTAAGTGCTTCCTCCAGGACAATTGATATAGAGCTAGACACACCGAGCAAAACAAACTAAGTTTCGAAGAACAAGCGAAGAACATAAGAAAGAAAAAAAGATGAGTAAACCTGGATATCTTTTTCTTCGTCGATGGCCGCAAGCATCACGAGCTGCGAGATGACGCGCTGGGCTACTTGCGAATTGATCGGTTGGCCGATGAAGATAATCCTACTGCGAAGCATGATGCTCGTAAGGTCGGCGATTCCTGCTGGAGTAATCACGGCTGGAGCCATTAGCGGAGCCCCTTTCTTTGCTGCCCTGATTGTATTCTCCTCACTGCCCTGTGCACCACTGAGAATCGATCGAAAATATTTCGATGCGTACCTTGAGGAATGGAAGATCGTAGCTCCTCGCCGGGGTAGCGGCTCTCATCCCGGGCGATGCCAATGCGTAGAGAAGAGCTGGCGATGGAGGCGGCGGAGTGATTGCCGAGCCCTGAATCGCGCATTCTCTCCTCCGGAACCTGACGAGGCCTGATCTACAGCTCTGGAATCCATGCCCGCGCCAGCTCTTGCCCGGCGAGCACAGCGCCTCCACGCCGCTAGCGCCTGGGGCTAGAGACATCGTCGCCATAGCCAAAAATCCGTTAAGACCGTTAGATGGTCTGGATCTGACGGCCGAGATAGAGCTACGATGAGTGCTCTCTGACCGTTAAATTTGACCGCCAGGATTTGTCCATTTGCTTCTCAGGAGTAGGGTGTGTTATTTTGTGCGTGAGTGGATGATTCTCCTCCGGCATGATGGATGATCCGCCGGCGGCATCGTCTAACACCAAGCGCTTCCCCGCCGGCATTGGATCGATGCCCTGGGTCCAGTCGCTCAAGAAATATGTGGGATCCGGCGCGGGTCTGGGCTCCGAGGCGCTCATGGGTAAGTTTCTTTCTCGAATCGATGCTCCAATGTAGCTTAGTGTTTATGGTGTAGAGCTCGAGACGAAGAGAATTCTTCTCGACGGGTACAAGGAGCAGCAGCAAAGAACTCTACAGAAGGGAACCATTCCAAGTTTTTACAAAAGGGTACTTTGCTGCTCTTTGACGAAAGAGAAACACTGTTATCATCTTTCTTGTTCTTGTGTAGAAACCTTCTGAGGGATCGATTGGTGCCAAAGTCCAGCATTTGGCGAGATTCAGGTTTCTGAAGGTCTTTGAAAGGTTTTTGATTTCAGCTTGAGGATTTTTTTTCTGAAGTGGTGTTGTTTTTTGAGGTGCCCAGAAGCAAGCAGAGATGCTGTTAAATGCTGATGATCTCGATGCTCTGTGGGTTTGTTTACGTGAGAACTGTGTCATTGACGATTCCACTGGAACTGAAAAGGTAAGATGATTTCGTCTCTTGTTTCTTTCGTGTTTTGTGCAGCTGAAAGTTTGTCTTGTAGATGAATTACGAGGATTTTTGTCACATTGCATCCCTATGTAACGATCAAATCGGACCAAAGTGCCGACGGTTCTTCTCGCCATCAAACTTTATGAAGTTTGAGAAAGATGAATACGGTCGAATTGCCATTCTACCGTTCTACTTGTATGTTATGCGAACTGTAAGTGTCTGTAGACCTGCTAGTGGATTGTCTTTGTTCGCGTTGTTTAGACTTCTAACAAGGGAAATTATGCAGGTATCTTTGACACAAGCGAGGATTGATATGAGTGAGCTTGATGAAGATGGAGACGGGCTTTTGCAGCCACCGGTAATAGTTCCACACTTATGCTCGAGCCTTGTTTAACCTTGACACATTTGCCAGGAAATGGAGGCATATATTAGAGGACTTATTCCTAATTTGGCTCAACTTCGAGATATCCCGGTTCCATTCTTATCTATGTATTGCCGAATCGCTGCGCGTAAATTTTCGTTTTTCTGTGATCCTCATCGTAGAGGTTCGTTTATTCGTTTAGATATATATATGCTCTGACGAATCGTTTGTGCAGGAAAACTATGTATAAAAAAAATACTTCTAAGTAACTGTCTAGCTGAACTCATGGAACTACATCGGGTATGCATTTTTCTGTTGTTTTCTGGATTTGTATTAGACATGGCTTGCGTTTTAGGAAAACGAAGAGGAAGTTTCCGAAGGAGAACATACAGAAAACTGGTTTTCTCTTGGCAGTGCTCAACGGATTTGTGGTGAGTGCATCTCTACTCTTTATTTTTTATTTGTATCAACAGTCCTTTAACTTTGTAAAATTTGTAGATGTCTTTCTCGCGCTGGACAAAGATATGAACGGTACATTGAGCAAGCAGGAGCTTCAAGACTATGCCGATGGCACATACACTACCATATTTATTGAACGAGGTAAGGTCATGAGTGTTTCTTCTATTCCTCGCTGACATCACTATGATTCCAGTCTTTGATGAACACGTCAGAAGAGGAAAAGGAGGTGGTGGGAAAGCTCGAGAAATGGACTTCGACAGCTTTCTGGACTTCGTCCTTTCTCTAGAAAACAGAGACACCCCGGAGGGCCTCACTTATCTCTTCCGGTGCCTTGATCTCCAAAACCGAGGATTTCTTTCAACGGGTGACGTACACACTCTCTTCAGGTTCGTCTCTCTTAGTAACTCAATGGAAGAAAAGAAGAGTGAAAGTCCTAGCTTTGGCTTCCACTTGATATGCTCTTCCGAGATTCGACAGGAAGAGTTTTTCCTGCCTGCGCACTCGAGCCGCTGTGCTGCAAGCCTCGAATCTTCCGTATATTACTGGCTGTTCGTCACTGCTCTAAATGCGCCTTTCTCCTTACAGGGACGTGCACAGGAAATGGATCGAAGGTGGAAACTACGACCTGTGCATCGATGATGTGAAAGACGAGATCTGGGACATGGTGAAGCCGAAAGATCCTCTCAAGGTCACACTAGCCGACCTCTTGGCATGCCGGCAAGGAGGCACTGTAGCCAGCATGCTGGTGGACGTGAGAGGCTTCTGGGCTCACGACAACAGGGAAAACTTGCTTCAGGACGAGGAAGAGACTGAAGAGGAAGAGTAGGAAGATGGTTGACAGAAGCGGGCAGCGACTGTTGTAAGTTTATCCGATTGCTTTTGGTTGCTTGCTCTGCAATAGCTAGAAACTGGAGGCTTGATCGATTATTTTACTACTAATACATTGATCTTGTAGTGTACCACATCAGATACGGAAAGCCACAGACAGGGATATCATCCTTGTCATGCTAAGAACAGGGCTTCGTCCTTACGGTTGTTGCCATTCGGTTGATGCGGTTTACAATCTTTTTCCGCCTCGAATCACTCGTGAGCACATGGAACGGGACAAGCCAAGTCAATTTCGTGGTACTTATGCTTCAAAGTTTGGATTCTTTTAATCTGATCTTAACGCTTTGGCTCCAGTTTTTCCAGGAACTCCAACCAGGCTCGCTCGCTCGCTGTTCACAATCTGGAAAGCCAATGTGCCGGACAGATCGACATAAATGAAACGCTGCCGAAAAGCTTGGAGCGAGCAACGAACTTCACTTTCTCTCTGGTAAGCAGCGTAAAGTTCTTTCCGGTCACTATCGTCAGCAAAGCAGTAGCAGTAGCTAGCGAGCGATCTGATCAGCGCTGAGAGTAGCAGGGGCGATTCATCGATTGCTCGCAAAGTGCTCGCTTGCGACAGCGCACCACTAATCTCTGCTTGAGCTGCCAAACAGGAAAATAAAGAGAAGAAGAAGAAGAAAAGATTAAAAGTGACGAGCAAAGTGCTTTGCTTGACATCCCAGCAACCGGCCTCTCGAAGAAGAAAAAAATGCGTGATTTTGCCCAGTTCTTCGATTTAATCTATCCTCGTCATTCCTCGAAGAACATGTTTCGTATGACCTGGCTAGCTTTCCTCCAAATCTAGCGGCGTCGCTAGTTTGCCCAACCTCGCCATTAAATGTTGTAACGTTAAAAGTGAGCAGCGAGTGGGAGTATTAAAAAGCCCTTTAGCACGAAAGCTGGAGGTTTCGCCAAGTGTGGCTGGCTGGCATTCACAAGCAAATTTTATTTTTTTTCTTCCCCCTCTCTTTGGCTATGGGCGAGAAAATGATGAATGTAGCAGCAGGGGAGGCAGGGCACACGCGGGCGATTGATGCATCGCATTGGCATTGGCAGTGATCAATCGTCCCAGCTACACAAGGAATCAAGAGAAAAGAATCGCAGCGCAACGGGACGGGAGAAGCAGCGATTGGGAGAGCTAGCTCTCGGATTTGGGGGTTTGTGGGTGCTCGATTCGATCGGTCTGTTCGATCCGCGGGGACGCGAGCTCGCTGGGCGCACGACCCACGAGATCTTTGCTCGCAATGCGGCCGCCCAATGGGCTAGATCGACCCGGAGTAGCAGTAGCAAGCCAGTAGCTCAGTAGTAGTAGCCCTCTCCAGAGGAGGAAGAACAAGGTGGAATAGGAAAGCTCCCAGGAGAGCTCGCGCTCGAGAGAGGAAGCGAGGAGAGGTTCTTCACACTCCCTCTCGCTTTCGCTCGCTCGCTTGCTCACACAGAGATTGCTCGCTCGCGCGTGCCTGGAGCTACGAAGTAGCTCAACGGATGCTGTGAGGAGGTGGATTGGAGCTTTCATCGCTCGTCGCGCTCGCCCGACCACATTAGATGTGCGTGTGACTCGCTCACTGGCCATTTGGTGGCCGGTTCCTTTCTTCTTTCTTTTCTCTTTCTTCTTCTTCTTCTCTTCCCCGACGCCATAGTTTGGATAGACCGATAGATAGCTCGGGATTTATGGTATTTTCACTCCAATCCGGATCTCACTCGAGAGCACCATGATCGGCCTAAGGTTTGTGGTTTCTTCCTTTCCTTTTGCGAGAAAACGAGATTTTTAGCTTGCCTTCGCTTTCTTCTCCATAGCCTAGCTCACGTTCCTTTTTTTTTCGGATGGATCAGATGGCTGTCAACAAGCTAAACAAGCAGCAAGAAGTTCTGGATGTCTGCGTGGACACTACCAAGGTTCTTTGCGTTTTGCTCCATCAACCTTTCCTTTAATCTCACGCGAGAAAAAAAAATTCTTCCAGGAGATCCCGGCTGGGCGAGTTCTTCGCAAGGCGACGCTGGTATGGAAGCTGCTGGTGCTGCTCCTCGTCGCCGGCTGCGGCGTTTACATGTGTTTGATCGGCGTGGATCGAAGAACCACGTACGATCGGCTCAGCCTCGATCCAATCCAGCAGGTCTGGCGGCGAGAGAATCTCTGCCCGAGGTTGTCGCGAGCCAAGTTCCCGCAACACTACCCCCAGCCAAGAACTTACTCGAGGTTCCAGAAATCTTGGAAAGGATCTCTAGCTAGTTTCTAACAAAGGTGGTCGAAACTTTTTTTCTTCCAGGAAGGAATGCAGGTGCGTGCCAGTCCATTTCTTCGTCCTCCTCTCGATGCAGCGATCCGGCAGTGGATGGTTTGAGACGCTCCTCAACAGCCATCCAAACGTGAGCTCTCACGGCGAGATCTTCTCCATCGGCCGGCGCCGCGCAAACTTTAGCACGATCAAGCAGACACTCGACGAGGTCTACAATCTGGAATGGTATTCCAGCGCTGCCAAGAACGAGTGCACGGCCGCGGTGGGATTCAAGTGGATGCTCAACCAAGTACGTGAAAAAAGCTCTCTTTTCTTGCGTGATTCTTTCGTCTTTTCGCCATCCAGGGAGCTCTAGCACACGGTGACCAAGTCGCCGATTACTTCCGCTCGCGCGGCGTCTCCGTGGTTTTCCTCCAGAGAAGAAACTATCTCAAGCGATTGATCTCGGTCATGGGAAACGCTTACGATCGAGCAAAGCCGCTCAATGGAACGCACGTCGCTCACGTCCACTCGCGAGAAGAGGTAAGCGATCAATCAATCTCTTCCACTCCTCTATACCATCTCTTTTGCTCCAGGCCGAGCTCTTGGCTTCGTTCAAGCCCACCATCGACGTCGCAAACTTGCTCCAAAACCTCCGCCGCGTCCAAAACATGTCCGACGAGACGCTCCGGATCTTCGGCACGACACGCTTGACAGCGCTCTACTACGAAGATCTCGTAAAAAATCCTCGAAAGGTGATGGTTGATCTTGAGCTTTTCAGCTAAAAGAACCACTTTTTTTTCCAGAGGGTGGACGTAGTTCTTCGATTCCTGGGAGTGCCACGCCAAGATCTCCGCAGCAAGCACGTAAAGATCCACACGAGACCCCTCCGCGACTCCATCACAAACTGGGACGACGTCTACAGGGCTCTCAACGGCACCGAGTTTGAGAGCCTTCTTCACGATCGCGACTACTTGTGATAGTGGAGGAAACCAAGACCATCTTGACGGAGTGTACATACAAGAGCTAGGCACGATCGATTCAATCTGGAATTCTTCTCCTCTTTTGTTTTTGTTTGAAGCGTGTGTTTTTGTCAAGAACAATCGTTGACAATCGAAAGAAGTTTCCTTGTGTAAAGAATTTGAGTTATAGTAACACAAGCCTTTGTACAGTAAGGTGTCCTTATTGCACACGAAAAATGGTGCCTACAAGGATTTACACTACCCGAGGAGCGAGCTAGCGAGCGAGAGAGAATGGCGAGCGAACCTGAGATCCATCCATGTTTTGATCGGCTCCTGGCACTGGCACTGGCTGCGCTGTGAAGGCGAAGTTGGTCGGGTTGAATCCAGCGGAGAACGCAAAACCAGCCGGCGACGTGGCTTCCAAAATCGGGAGTGATCCTCCCACTGCCGCTGTGATGGACGATGCGAATGCTTGGCCTCCGGGTTGCGACGTAAAACTGTTGCCGAAGATCTCCTTCTCAAGCTGCTGGAGCTGCTGCTCCACTTCTGCGAGGAGAAACGCTATAGTAAAGAAAGGAGCTTTTAAGACTACGCACGCCTTACCGGGGTTGAGCTTCACTGAAGGGCTCCTTTCCTTGACCCATTCGTAGCTTTGAGACAGTCTCCAGCCTTTGTGTCGCATCAAATACGCTATAACAACTGCCGGGGATCTGAAAAGGAAGACGAGAGTCTTAGATCCATACTGTTTGATCCAAAAAGGATCACTCCACTATATGACCAACCTGCTTTGTCCGGACATACAATGGACGAGAACCTTCGCGTTGTTTTGCCGACTTTTCTCTACACACAATCCATCTTCCGATAGAACCACGCAAACGAAAGAAAAGAAAAGTTACCGATGAAATCCAGGCACTCTTCCAGCGGTAATCTCTCCTCTTGTATGCAGTGATAAGTGAAAGAATTCTTGTAGAGATTCTGGCATCTCGCTACAGTCTAAGACAAACACCACAGTATGAGGATACCCTAGAAAGGAGGAGAGGAGAGATCTTACATTCAAGATGTGCGTAATTCCCTGCGCCTTGAGGAGCTCCGCCCTGGAGGCATTGTCGTAGCTGCCGAGAAACAGGAAAGGCAAAATCTCCGCCGAGAAGGCGCTCTGCTGCGAACACTTCTCCTCGCCCGCCGTTCGGCGATGGCCGCACACGCCGCAGGGCTCGCCATCCTCGAATTTGTGGTAGTGATTGCAGATGAAGCACGGATTCTCCCTCTCCCGCTTCCTCATGGCGCTCGCTCTCGCAAAGACGAGAAAGGACTATAAGAACCCTAATCAAAACCCAGAGCGGTTGGCTTGAAATGAGCCAATAAGTCATTGCCACGTCAGCGTCAAAGTTGAAAGGGCTGCCACGTCGGCGGCCAAAGGGATTTTACTTGGGCATTTCTTTGGTAGCAAGGCACTCCCGCGCTGCTTGGGGCGATGCCGCGCGAGATCATCACGCTCCAGGTAGGGCAATGTGGGAACCAGATCGGCATGGAGTTTTGGAAGCAGCTCTGCCTGGAGCACGGCATCAACAGCGATGGCATCCTGGAGGATTTCGCGACTCAGGTCAGCTGCGCTCCCTTTCTCGCGATCTTTAAGGTTTTAGGTCTTGAGGGATCGATTGATTCGTCGCGGCAGGGCGGCGACCGGAAGGATGTGTTCTTCTACCAGGCCGATGACGAGCACTACATTCCCCGGGCGCTGCTTTTGGATTTGGAGCCCCGGGTGATCAACGGCATCCAAAACAGTGAATATCGAAATCTCTACAACCATGAGAACATCTTTGTGGCTGATCATGGAGGCGGTGCTGGGAATAACTGGGCAAGTGGATATCACCAGGTATGAACTTTCTCTCTCTCTTTTTTTTTTCTTCTTTGGTTCTCATCTGGGAAAGAAATGCAGGGTGAGCAAGTGGAGGAAGATATCATGGATATGATCGACCGAGAGGCTGACGGCAGTGACAGTCTCGAAGGATTTGTTTTGTGTCACTCAATCGCCGGAGGAACAGGATCAGGTAGATTTTTCTATCCGTTTATCTTAGGAAGCATGACCTCACTTGTTTCTAGAGCTATAGATCTCTTTTGTCTGCCTGCTTAGAACCAATGTGCTCACGTTGCTTTGGTTTGGTTTTTCTCAGGAATGGGATCTTATCTACTGGAAGCTCTGAATGACCGATACAGCAAGAAACTCGTGCAGACTTACAGTGTGTTTCCAAACCAAATGGAGACAAGCGATGTGGTTGTCCAGCCTTACAACTCACTGCTGACACTGAAGCGGTTGACGCTCAACGCCGATTGTGTTGTTGTCCTGGACAACACTGCGTTGAACAGAATTGCGGTGGATCGTCTTCACATTCCGAACCCGACTTTTGCACAGACGAATTCCTTGGTGTCGACAGTGATGTCTGCGAGCACGACCACGCTGCGATATCCCGGCTACATGAACAACGACCTCGTTGGGCTGGTTGCCTCGTTGATTCCTACGCCTCGGTGCCACTTTCTCATGACCGGATACACGCCTTTGACAGTCGAGCGTCAGGTAACGTTTTCACTATTCCTATACAAGTAGAAGGCTTATATCATAAAGTCTTTTCCCAGGCAAACGCCATCCGGAAAACCACGGTGCTTGATGTCATGAGAAGGCTGCTACAGGTAAAAAATATCTATGTTCTTTTTGTCATTTCAGATTGCGTTGTGGTGAATGCTGTAGGCAAAAAACATCATGGTTTCATCTTATGCCAGAACCAAAGAAGCAAGTCAAGCAAAATACATCTCGATCCTTAATATCATTCAAGGCGAAGTCGATCCCACACAGGTTTGCGTATTTTGTTTGTATTCTTCTTGACGTTTGATTTTTCAAAATACGTGCACAGGTGCACAAAAGTCTGCAGCGAATTCGCGAGAGAAAGCTTGCCAATTTCATCGAATGGGGACCAGCGAGTATACAGGTTAGATTTCACTTTCTACATTTGTAGGTGGCAAAGCGAAAGATACTGAATGGTTTTTTCTTCTCGTCTGCTCAGGTTGCACTCTCGAGGAAGTCGCCTTACATTCAAACCGCGCATAGGGTGAGCTGTGAAAGCGCCAGAAAACCATTATCTGACGTATCGTATCGTATCGTTTTTGTGTAAGGTGAGCGGGCTCATGCTGGCAAGCCACACAAGCATTCGCCATCTGTTCAGCAAGTGTATCAGCCAGTACGAAAAACTCAGGAAGAAGCAGGCTTTCTTGGACAATTACCGCAAGTTTCCCATGTTTGCCGTAAGCTCTAGATCATCCGTTCATCCTTGTTTCTAAAGTCTCGCGCTTGCCAGGACAATGACTTAACCGAGTTCGATGAGTCAAGAGAAATCGTACAGAGCCTGGTGGACGAATACAAAGCATGCGAATCCGCCGATTACATCAAGTGGGGCATCGAGGTACGCTAAACTTTTTCCATCTCACCTACAAGCTTAGCAAACACTCTTCTTGACCAGGAGCGCAACAAGTCCACTGGCTTGGACGGCCCCATGACTGGAACTTTAGAGTCTAGAATCGCCGCAATCTGACCAGCGCAGCGGTCGTGTTTGTACACTCGCCACTTTCCTGTGCAGTTGAGTTTTGATACGATTTCCAGGTATGAGTTTTCAAGTTCTTCCTTCTCTCGCAGACGAACGCGTCAAAGCATCGCGTTTGTGTTAACTTAAAACGCGAGTGAGCGGCCAATTGTCCTTTAATCACACTGTGGAGGTAGCGTTTATTCGTCGCTGTTCTATTCGTTGTCTCGAAAGATGCCAGTGACTCGAAGCTAACGCGAAAAGAACTCCGGAACTTACAACGTGCGCATTGGCCGCTCGAATATGAAAGAAGAATTCCAACAAACGTGGAACCCAGTTAGACCAAATGCGCGTATATGCTGACCCGCGGCAATGAATCCGCGCCGTCCGTTGCCGCGTGGCGCGTATATGAGCCGTCCGCGGGTCCTTTCTGGCCAAGTCGCGTAGATCGCAGCCGTCCGTGCCCGCCTTTTGATCTGGGCCATCGGTGCCTGGTATAAAAGGGCGAGGGCAATGGCCAATTCATCAGTTCAGCGTCTTCCAGTGGTAGATGAGTAAGGAGGCCTGTCGGATGCGATTTGGGATCCGGTGCTCCAGCATCTCTTTGTGGAGCCTCCAATCCTCGTTCCTCTTCAACGCGTCGCTCAAGCAGCAGATCGGCTTCGCGCATCACCACCTGGCGATCGAGCCCCCTGAAGCGGGGATCTTCTCGGCGATCTTGGAACCGCACTAGATCGGCCGATCGATCAGCGTCGAAATATCACTGATTCTTGATTCTTGGAAGGATCCAAGCTCCACATCAAAATATCAGCAAGCGATGGAGTGGAAGTCGTTCTTGGAGGGCGGCGTGGCGTCGATCGTCGCGGGATCGCTGACGCATCCCCTGGATCTCATCAAGGTTCGAATGCAGCTCCAAGTGGAGCCGATTCCCGTGGCCCAGGTCCATCAATCCCTGGCATTCGCGGGCGGTCACACGGCATCGATCGCGGCAGCGGCGCCAAGAACAGCGGGGCCGATCGCGGTCGGGATTAGGGTTGTCCAGACGGAGGGCGCGCGAGCTCTCTTTTCGGGCGTCTCGGCGGCGGTTCTTCGCCAGACTCTCTACTCCACCACGCGCCTGGGGCTGTACGATGTGATGAAGAAGAAGTGGCAGGAGCCGGATGGGAGCTTGCCACTGCCCAAGAAGATCGGGGCGGGGCTGGTTGCTGGGGCGATCGGCGCGACGGTGGGGAATCCAGCCGACGTCGCCATGGTCCGGATGCAAGCCGATGGACGATTGCCCCTGGCGCAGCGGAGGAACTACGCTGGCGTCGGCGACGCGCTCTTCCGGATGGCGCGCCAGGAAGGGATCAAGGCGCTGTGGACTGGATCGGGGCCGACTGTGCAGAGGGCGATGATCGTCACGGCGGCGCAGCTCGCGACTTACGATCAGACCAAGGAGGCGCTCCTCCGCAACCGCGTGACCAGGGATGGGTTTGGCACCCACGTCGCGGCCAGCTTCTCGGCGGGCTTCGTGGCGTCGGTGGCTTCCAACCCGATCGACGTGATCAAGACGAGGATCATGAATATGAGCGTCCAGGCCGGGGAGGAGGCGCCCTACAAGGGGACGCTGGATTGCGCGGTGAAGACGATCAAGGCCGAGGGGCCGATGGCGCTCTACAAGGGATTCGTGCCCACGGTGTCGCGCCAGGGGCCATTTGCGGTGGTGCTGTTCGTGACGCTGGAGCAAATGCGATCGCTCCTCAAGAACGTTTGATCCAGCTCTTGATTCTTGAGATGGATCACTCCTGATTGTTTGGAGTTCCTTTTGATTATGACGAAGAAAATAAAGAACTAGAAGTGAATCTAACAGTGTTGTTGTATAGCGCTAGTCACTGAAGCAAAGCTCCTTCTTGGCTTGGAAGGTAATTGTCCGAATAGAAAACCTCTATTGATATTTTGAGTGAAATCCACCGTCCGGAGCGTGGCCGTCCACGTATCGCGGTCGTTGCGAGGTAGATCGCTTTCACGCAACGACTTTCACATGACTACCTCACAAAGATCGTTAAAAGTATACAGTCGAGCTAATGATTTTTCACTACGGGATGCCACGTGGACTGGCCCTCCACCAACCAGGTAAATGCTGGCGGTGCCAGCTCGTCTATCAGGAGGGCCTTGATTACATGGCCAGCTCAGCAGCAAGGAATGCTCGCTATGGTGGGTGTTGCTTTCGTTTTGTTAGGGTTCTTGAGGCCGCGAGGAGGAAGGGCGCAGGTATGGTGTCACGATTCCGAGCAAGGTGGGTCTCTGTTCTTGGAGGGAAGGAGGTAGCGAGGACGGCACGCTAGAAAGATTTCGTGGATTTTGGTGCTTTCTAGCTCCCCGCTTTTCTCCTCTTGCATTGCGGTGCTGCGCTCGTCACAATGCCGTCGAGTCCGAATTACAGCGTCCGGGCGCGCAAGGTTGAGAAGATTTTCAAGCAGTTCGATGGCAACGGCGATGGCAGGCTCAATCGCGACGAGATGGCAGCGCTGGTCATTGCCGTGAATCCCCGGGTGAAATTCAGCGACGAGCAGATCAGAGCTATCCTGGACGAGGTGTTTCGGACCTATGGAGAGTTCATCGATGGCAAGAAGGGGCTCACTTTCGACGGGCTCTTGAGGACTTACGACGATGGCGCCGGGGACGTGGACAGGGATTTCGATGCGCTGGGCTTGCAGCTGGAGAAAGACGACGGTGCTGGAGCTGGGACGGATGTGGAGAGCGTGGGAGACGAGAGCAGGAGTAGCGAGCCAACGGGGCTATCAAAGGCTGGTGGCGTGGTCTCGATCATGGACGAGAGACCGGAGGCTGCAAGCGCCAAACGCAGGCAGAATGTAGGTGCTTGGGCGGCTTCACCCAACAATGGGATTGTCTACGACGATACGTGGAGACTCGTGGAGGATCTGGAAATTCTGCTTCGACGAGCCGAGGCCAAGATCGAGGCACGGAGGAAAGCGAAGCTGAGCAGGAAGAAATCGTCGTCGGCTAATGGTGTGGATGTCTCCGGCCAGCTTGCGGGTGGTGACGAAGTCGTGAGAAGAACCATGCACGACCTCGGGACGGAGTCATCGGTTTACCAAAAGGCTCTGGGAGATCTTCGCCAGAAAGCTGATGCTTCGAGAACGCAGGACGAGGCGTTTGATGCACATATGGCCATGGGACGCTCGCTCTTTGATCACAAGTTCTACGAGGAAGCTCTGATCTGCTTCAAGAGAGCGACCGAGCTCCGGCCAACCGACGTGCGACCGCATTTTCGGACGGGCAACACTCTTTACTCGCTCGAGAAGTTTTTGGAAGCACGAGAGGCGTACGAGCTGGCATTGGATGCTGCAAACACCGGAAATCCTCAGTGGACCAACCTTGTTCCGCAGATCCACGTCAACTTGGGAGTTGCTCTGGAAGGCGAAGGCATGCTGCTGAACGCTTGTGAGCACTACAGAGAAGCAGCGATACTCCATCCTCCTCACTATCGAGCTCTTAAACTTCTGGGAAGCGGCCTGTATGGAGTTGGCGAATACAGAGCGGCAGAAAAGGCTCTCGGCGAAGCGATCTTTTTGAAGTCGGACTATGCTGATGCTCACTGCGATCTCGGGTCTGTTCTTCATGCTTTGGGGGACGATGAAAGAGCCATAGTGGAGTTCCAGAAGGCTATTGATATCAAGCCGGATCACATGGACGCACTGTACAACCTTGGAGGACTGTTGCGTGACACAGGGAGGTTTCAGAGAGCAGCAGAGGTTTACTCGAGGGTGCTCTCTTTGAATCCTAGTCACTGGCAAGCGCAGCTAAACAGAGCGGTTTCTTTACTCGGTGCCGGTGATACCGAGGAAGCAAGGAAGGCGCTGAAAGAAGCCTTCAAGATGACAAACAGGGTCGAGCTTTATGATGCTATCGGCCACCTCAAGCACCTCCAGAAGAAACCGAAGGGACTGAATGGAATGATCAAAGGTGCCCAGGATGTCGAGCGCAGCGACAGTGGCTTTGTCATCGCAGATCCGTCAACTTTCACAAGAGTTGGCAACAAAACGACACCTCGACCGTGGATTGCGCACGCTCTTAAGATCCGGGCTTTTCAGAAGCATACCAGGCTCCATCGCTGCAACCTCGCCAGCTTGAGCAAAGAGATGGCAAACAAACCATCGGTATCTCAAACAGCCGGTACAGCCGGGCACATTTCGGAGGCGCTCATACGGAAGGCAGATCTTGAGAAGTCTCTGAGCAGAATGCTCAGCTTCTTGCCACCGACTACTTTTCAGTCGGCGGTGAAGGCAATCAACGAGAAAGTGCTGAGCGTGCTGGACAAAGTAGGCTCTGGTCGAGTGGACCTGGGAATGTTCTTGGCGACAATAGCACCGCTCTGCGCTGGTCCAGTCGACAAGAGGAAGCGGACGGCTTTCGACTGCCTGGTGCACCGATCGACCAAGGGACTGGGTGCCGAGATCGTCAAGTCGGACGCTAAAACGTACTTCAAGCACCTGCGGGCCATTTACTTATCCTCCGAGTCCACGAGCGAGCTGTGGGAAGTTCGTGGCGAAGACGAGCACGCCAACATCTCGTATCCCGAGTTCGTGGAGATGTTTGACGACCGGGACTGGGCCTTTGGCGTTCTGCACACCGTGGTGAAGCTCGAGGCCGGGGACCGAGTTCGTCACAATGGGATAGCCTGCGCGGTGTGCTCGTATCCCATAACAGGTCCTCGTTTCAAGGAGACAAACGCCAACTTCAGCCTGTGCTCTACGTGCTACGGCGATGGAAAAGTCCCGGATCACCCCAAGCAGGAGAGCTACTCCTTCCGGGAGTACAACTCGGAGACGGACGCTGTCAAGGACAAGCTACGATTCCTCGGAAGGTCATAGAAAGGGAGTTCTTCTGCTGGTGCTCAGTACCCCTGCCAAATTGGTGGGTACGTATCCTTTTCCTGTTGTTTTCTTCCCGTTACTCACTGCTCATCGTCGTTTTCATTCGCAGGTGCTAGCTACCAGCAGAAGCTGTGTGTAGATATACGTCGTGGTTACTGGTTGGAAGATTTTCATGGTCGACGAGAGAAATAAGCCAGTGTAATGTGAAGAACGAAAGAAAAGTCTGGTGAGCTTTTCTTTGCTTTTTCTTTTTGCTTCTTCTTGTGTGTGTTGAACTTCGAGATAATCCAGATATGTTTTGTTTATCCAATCGATGAGGATATCTTGCAGTGGTGGACAAAGAGAATTCCATCACAGGGAATCTTTTACGCTCGTCACACTGAGCGGATTGATCGGGACAAAAAAGAAGAACCGATCATCCAGAGCTAAGTTTAATCTCAAGACTTTGACCCTCGAGGAGTACCTGGGTACTTAGTGGAGATTACGTCGGGCTCTGCTTATTCTACTAACTTCTCGCCTTTTCGATGCATGTAAGACGTCGCGATCCGGCTGGGACTATGGAAGAAAAGTCAGATCACGGGGCACACAAAAAAAAAGATGGAGAGAGAGAAGAAGTGGAGGAAATTTTCGAGCAAGAGAGCTTGAAAGCTCACAGGAAATGAGAGAAGTGAGTAGCGTATAAAAATGTCGGTGTTCTAAAGGGAAGAACTCCCGGTTCTACGCGAAAGGCGATGGTGGTATGAGAACGGTGGGTCATATCAATGAAAGTGGGAAAGAAAGGGGGCAAAAGTTGTCAAGGAAAGAAATAGAGTGATCTCTTCTCTCTCGTCTAGAGCTGGATTTAGGTCGTGTGTGTGTGTGTGTGTGTGTGTGAGAGAGAGAGAGAGAGAGAGAGAGCTTCTTGTGTAACGCTCTCTTCTTCCTTTCTAGCGATTAGCCTTCGAGGAGGGAAGATTTTAGGGCGCGCTTGCGCTTGTGGACGCGGTCACCGGTTCTTCGCAATTTGGGCGCGATTTGTGGCTCTTCTAGGGCGGGCAATGCGGGCGCTGGAATGCAGACTGGAAATGGGAGCTGGCGCCGGGGGATGAGAGCCATGAGGGAAGGATCCAGGCCTTCTTCTTGTTCTTCCTCCTCCCTTCCTTCTCCCTCGTCGCCCTGCTAGGAATCACACTGCAATATGATCGATCAGCTGGTCAACTTCGTAATTCGCCCTCCCAGGTGAGCAAATTCCCCCGCCGCGATTCCACTGCTCATCGAAATTCCTCTTTCTTTTGTCTGGCACAGGGCGGATTACATGCCCTCCCATGATCTACTGGAGCGCGAGTTTGTGCTCAAGGGACATAGATACGAGCGTAAAGACTTAGAGGCAAGTTTGTTCGTTAGAATAGTTCTCGTCTTTATCATCTTTTGGCCGCGTTCTAAAAGCTTCCTTCGTCTCTTCCCTACGAGCAGATTACCAACAGTCGCGGCCACGTACTGCAATGCAGCCATTACAGACCACGTCCCCTACCGGAAGATGTCTCGCTTCCTTGCGTGATTTATTGCCATGGAAACAGGTTTGTCCAGAGGAATTTACTTCCACTTCTTTATTCTTTGGCTGTGGTTTTGGCAGTGGGTGCCGAGCTGATGCAAACGAGGCTGCCATAATTTTGCTCCCCTCGAACATCACCGTCTTCACGCTTGATTTCTCTGGCTCGGGTCTGTCTGAAGGGAAGTATGTTAGCTTAGGCTGGAATGAGGTATGATCTATCATCTGAGCCTTTGTTTTGTTTTTCCTGACTTTGTGGTATTTTAGACTGATGATCTCAAGGCTGTTGTAACGCATCTTCGCAAGGACAAACAAGTCAGCCTCGTTGGTTTGTGGGGACGTTCGATGGGAGCTGTGACCAGGTTTGTAAAAGCACGGTTTGCTGACAAGTTGGATTGACTTGCTTGGATATTGTTGTGCAGTCTTTTCTATGGAGCACAAGATCCATCCATCGCTGGGATGGTTCTGGATAGTCCATTTTCCAACTTGTTTGAGCTTATGCTAGAGCTTGTAGACGTGTACAAAATTCGACTTCCTAAGTTTACTGTAAGTGATGGTTTGCGTTGTGGCGGATGAAAAACTCGGTTTTCTTTGTATAGGTAAAGGTAGCTGTTCAATATATGCGGAGGCTAATCCTCAAGAGAGCTCAATTTGACATTATGGACCTCGACGTTATAAAGGTTTGCTGAGCAAAGCAAAGAGTTCTTTAAGCTATGTACAGGAGTATTTTTGTGCTGTCAGGTAGCTCAGAAAAACTTCGTACCGGTGTTATTTGGTCATGCAACTGAAGACTTGTTTATTCAACCTCACCATTCAGATGCGATATTTAAGGCGTATGGAGTATGTTATCGTTTTTTCCTGAGTTATAACTTCGACTTGCAAAATTACCAGGGAGACAAGAACATCATTAAGTTTGAGGGAGATCACAACTCTGCCAGGCCCCAGTTTTATTACGACTCAGTCACCATTTTCTTTTACAATGTGCTGCGTCCACCTAGCGAGACCTACGCGGAATCGGTGCCAGTTCCTGATCCTTTGTATTATGACGTAAACGGATATGTCTTTGACGAGGACATTGATGAGGTAGTTTGCGCACGCTTGCCGTTTGAAGTCTGCTGACAAAAGGTTTTCTCGACTTTAGAACATGCTATACGAGATCATGAAGGGAATGCAAGCTGCAAACCCCAAGCCTGACGAAAATGGTGCAACATCGCAGGCACAACAAAGAGTCGTAGGAGGTACAATATTTTCTCCTTCACTGGACGAGAAGCATAAAGTTTTTATATCCAGGAGTCGCTGCTAAAACAGACTCCAGTTCTACGGAGGACGCCATCAATCAATCACGCTCTCGGTGGCAAATGAGTAGGACTGTTGTATGTAGTGTGCCGCTGCTCTTGTCATTTGGTGCTTGCATGATTAATTTTTCCTTTTCGCTTTCGCAGGTTCCTTACGACAATACAGAGCAAGTAGAAGACGCTGCGGAGCTAATGAAGAGGATGGACCAATGTGGCGAGTCTGCCTCTTGTTTACATACTCCTGAGGTTAGCTGCTCAATAACTTAACTCTTCGTTGTCTAAAATCGTTGCTAAATTCTCCAGGCCGAGCAAAACGATGCCTGCTCCCGGTGCGTCTCCAGCTCCGTATCAAATGGTCTCGATGATTCGTGGCGAGGAGAAACCGGCTCGGATTCATTCCAAGTTTCACCCAGCTCGTCCGATGGCTTTGCCCACTTCCCATCCACGTTTGACGACGAAGAGAGGGTGAGTAGCGCTTGATCCTCGCGTAGCTAAGTTGGAGGCTCTTCAACTTTGTGTTTAAACGACTTTATACTCGCAGATGGTGATGGAAGCGATTGCTGCGTCTCTGGAAGAGATGAGCCTCCGATCCAAAGAAGCGGCGTCCAGGTCTCAAGGTGCTGCTGCTCCTGTTGCTGTTACTGCTGCGAGCCCAACAGCGTCGACGAGCAGTAAGCTCGAAACGTTTGGGCAAAGGCTGCGAAGTGGGCTGTTTAGAGGCATGAACAAACGAAGCAACAGCTCTCACTCCTAAGATGCTTGTATTTTTCTTTTGATCTTTTCACATTGATTTGATTTTTCACTGTAAAAATAATATCAGCAACTTTTGTGGAAAAGCTTAACTAAGTGATAATTAAATTAGAATTCAAGATCTTGCGATGGCGTCGTAGTTGAAGTCTCTCTGTGGCATGGCTTTGTTACTCTAGAATTATAAACTATGCCTCCGGTGGAGGATGCCGGAGAGGGCAGTGAGTGAATTCCAGTAATTTCGGAGAGGGAAAAGCTAACTGGAAGTCTTGATTCCAGCCATCCAGTCAAGAACTGCCACTTTGCATGTCGTTTACTTATCATCGATTCTCTTTGATAGATTTTCTTTGCAAAAGAAGCTTTAGATCATGTCTCGCGCACTAAGTTTGTTCTTCTTCATTCTCTTGGAGGCTGCTGCGGTGACCTCTCCGCCAGGGAAGAATGAAACAGGTATATAACCATTTGCACAATCCCTTTTGTCCAATAATCTCAGATTCGCCTATCTCCAATCGCAATTGTTTTTGATGATCTCAAGTCTCGATTGATGTTCCTGAAAAGATCCATGCCTGCATCCGCTTGCATGCTTTGGTATGCACATAGTTCTTCAATGTTTTTCCTTCCACAGTGATGGGTACGACTGCTAAGCAACTGGATTCCAATTCCACTTCAAAAATTGCGAGATCTATTTTGAAGACAATATTCTTGACATGATCATGTTGTTATAGCAGCCAACCATCATCTCTGGTGATCAGGAGCAGCAAAGCTTCATTATCGGTGACCCCTCTGATATATGGATCCCAACACTTACGATTTTAATCGTTGCCATAGTGATCATAGGAAAAGAATCTTATATTTATTTAATATAAATCCATTTGGCTGGGTATAAATTTCTTTGTAATTTCTCCTTCGAAATTATATTGATATAGGTTAATCATTCAAAGTTAACAGCACTGGAGCACTCCCTCGATGTTCTAGATGCAATCGTCCAAAGTTCTATCTATTGAGACCCGTGGTCGCAGCGGGCAGCCACGTTGATCCCAGGTGATGTTGAAGCATCACAAAACGAAGTTGGATGAGCATTCGAGGGGGACCTAACTCTATATGGATGCATCCTATACACTTATTAGTCCTCCTAGTCCAATGGTGCTGCCCATGGAATTGCTAACATCGATAGAGGCTTCAAACCGGATGTGGCTCTGTACATATCACTGCAAGATCGTTGTGTGAGAGATCCAAGCCAAATTTAATAAATGTGAGTTTTATGATTCTCGTGAGTGAATTCCAGTAATTTCGGAGAGGGAAAAGCTAACTGGAAGTCTGGTTTCCAGCCATCCAGTCAAGAACTGCCACTTTGCATGTCGTTTCACTGGTTGACCTTTCCCGGCAGTGTATATATACAATCTCCACGCAAAACGCTGATCATATCATCCATCTCTTTCTCACTTTGATAGATTTTCTTTGCAAAAGAAGCTCTAGATTATGTCTCGCGCACTAAGTTTGTTCTTCTTCGTTCTCTTGGTGGCTGCTGCGGTGACCTCTCGGCCAGTGAAGAATGAAACAGGTATATAAATCTCTCCAATCTCGACTGGAATTCGCCTATCTCCAACCGCAATTGTTTTCGATGATCTCTAATCTCGATTGAAGAACATCAAGTTCCTGAAAAATCCATGCCTACATTCGCTTGCATGATTTGCAGATTGTAACTATGCAAGAGTGTCACCTGGTTCTTACGTGTTTACAATCGTTTTTTTCTTCCACAGTGATGGCTACAACTGCTAAGCAACTGGATTCGTCACCATCGTCCACGAGACCTGAGGTAAGACAGTCCTGTATTTTTTAAGACAGCATTCGTGACATTATCGGGTTGTTAATATAGCAGCCAATCATCTCTGGTGATCAGGAGCAGCAAGCCCATGTCGACTACATTTACGATTTTAGTCCCTGATGAAACGAGGCATCAATAAGAGAGTGAAAGAAATTCTCATATATTTAATATAAATCGATATAAATTCTTGTACTATCTAAATATTTTTAATTTCTATATTTTTATATATTTTAAAATATTAAAACAAAAATACTTAGATGGAATAAATATTACAATAAATCTAGTCTTCTTTCTAGATCAAATCTGATCTCATTCTCTAGCACTTTTGCAAGTTCAACTGTAATTAAAGTGGACTCCGTGATTTGAAGCTTGGTTCTGTCACAAAAAGATCTCCAAAAGTCAGATGAACAGCAAACAATATTCTTGAAAGCAAGGTGCCTTTTCCTTTTGCCCGTTTTCTTCTTCTCATCCAGGATTCTTGCCATGCTGAAAGCACGGCACTCTGAAAAACTTGTCATCTCCTTACAAGAAAGTTGGCAAAACTGTACATCTCTCACACATTGGCCATCTTTTCCAGTGGGCAAGTCAGAAACTCCTCTTGGAAAATTTGGGTACTCCCAAAAGTCAATCCTCTCCCGGGTGCTCATCGGCTATAAGAATCGATCAATCTCAAAAGCTTTTGAGCAACAAAGGGAGCTTTCAGTGCCAGCGGCAGTAAGTTACAAAGAAAAGCTCTCTAGATGGATCTTAAGACCTGTCGTGGTATCTTTCGCAGGCTGGATCACTTCACATACCGATCGATCTGATTTGGCAAAGCTATAACAAGCACGAAGATGGCGACCACCACCACCAACAAGAACGACCAGCTCAACGTTCTCGACGCGCTAGACACAGCCAAGACGCAGTGGTATCATGTCACGGCCGTGATCATCTCGGGTATGGGCTTCTTCACCGATGCCTACGATCTCTTTTGCATCTCCCTCCTCACCAAGCTCCTGGGCCGGATCTACTACTACGACCCCTCCACTGGGACGCCGGGCGAGCTCCCAGTGAGCATCAATGCCGCCGTGAGCGGCATCGCGCTGTGCGGCACCTTCACGGGCCAGCTCTTCTTCGGCTGGCTGGGCGATCGCCTGGGCCGCAAGAGAGTCTACGGCATCACCTCCATGATCATGGTCGTCTTCTCCATCGCCTCGGGCTTCTCGTTTGGATCCAGCGCGCGTGCAGTCATCGGCACGCTCTGCTTCTTCCGCTTCTGGCTGGGATTCGGAATCGGCGGCGACTACCCGCTGTCCGCGACGATCATGTCCGAGTACGCCAACACCAAGACGCGGGGGGCGTTCGTGGCGGCGGTGTTTGCCATGCAAGGCGTGGGGATCTTGGTGGCGGCCGTGGTGACCATGGCGGTGTCCGGGGCGTTCATGGTGGCACTCAGAGCCCCCAGCTTCGAGGAGAGCCCCGGACTGTCCACGCCGCACGAGGCCGACTACGTGTGGAGGATCGTCTTCATGCTGGGCAGCGTCCCGGCAGCGCTCACGTACTACTGGCGGATGAAGATGCCTGAGACCGCGCGGTACACCGCGCTCGTGGCCGGGGACCTGGACCGGGCAAACGCCGACATGAGCAAAGTCCTCCAGGTCGACCTCACGGACGATCACCATCGTGGCGTTGATCATCAGGTACTTTGGCCTCCATTCTCCTTAACGTTTGTTCTTTGGCTTGAAACAGTTCAAGATTGCTAAGAAGGTCCAGGCTCAATCATCCTTCCCGCTCTTTTCATCACGCTTTGCGAGGAGACACGGCCTCCACCTCTTCGTCACTACCACCACCTGGTTCCTCCAGGCCTTCGCCTTCTACAGCCAACAGCTCTTCCAAAAGGACATCTACACCCAGGTGGGATTCATCAAGCCCGCCAAGACCATGTCCGCGCTCCAGGAGGCGCTGGTCACCGCGAGAGCGCAAGCCCTGGTGGCGCTGTGCGGGACGGTCCCGGGCTACTGGGTCACCGTCGCGCTCATCGATCGCCTGGGCCGCAAGCCCATCCAGCTCCTTGGCTTCCTTATGATGGGCACTTTCATGTATGCTCTGGCCGTCCCCTACGAGAGCTACTGGCGGGGCAAGCACCTGGACGCCGCCACTGGCAAATACCAAGGCGGCCACAACGTTGGCTTCGTGGTGCTCTTCGCGCTCACATTCTTCTTCGCCAACTTTGGACCCAACAGCACCACCTTCATCGTCCCCGCGGAGGTGTTCCCCGCGCGGCTGCGCTCGACGTGCCACGGCATCTCCGCGGGCGTGGGCAAGATTGGATCCATCCTGGGCGCCTTTGGCTTCGTCTACGTGTCGCAGCCGACCAGGAAATCCGAGCTCCCGCGGGGATACCACCACCCGGGGATTGGGATGAGGAACGCGCTGCTGCTGCTGGCCAGCGCCAGCATGCTGGGCTTCTTCATCTCGCTCCTCATGCCCGAGACCAAAGGTAAGAGCCTTGAAGAACTCTCTGGTGAAAGCGTCATGAATGAAAGCAAAGTTGATGTTCAAAGTGTTTAGGCTATATTAATAAATTATGGAATTTTCAGTAAACACGCATGGAAACCTAAAACGGAAAATGAGAAAGGAGCGTAAAGGAGCGTATAGATTTATCAAGTACCTATGAGAACTATATAAATTTAATTCCAGTTGTAAAGAGTACTTTTCCCTGCTTCTGGGAGCTCCTTTTGACGTGGCGATCCACCGAGGTGGCAGCGCCATGTGTTTGGCGCCAAAAGCTCAGAAGATTTTTATTGACCTAGCTTTCGATTCGATCGATGCGCCTGGCAGCAGATCGCGCGCACACACGGGAGGGCGCTGCCGCGACTGGCAGTGAGCGATCCCGCGCTCCCAGAATCCTTTCTTTTTTCCCCTCTTGCTCCTCCTTTCGCTCTTTTCTTATTGCGATTCTTTGTCGCGTATGTTGCAAAGGCTACGCAACAGAGGCTGAGTGTAGCTGTAATGATTCCCGAGCCCACAATGTGTCGCATCCATTGCCGTAGCTTTCCACTCTTCTTTTTCGGCTCCTCTACTGGAGAGCTCCAGGCCATTTGCTGCTCACAGAGCGCACCATCCCACTGCGATTTGTCCTTCTACGAATCAGATCTTCTGCGCACTGTCGAATGCGAGTATTTTTTTTTTCCCCCTCAATTGACAATTCCACATTGGTTTTGTGTGATTAGTTTAAAGAAATGAAGATGAGCCAGCGCTATAAAGGGTGGAGGCCTCCTCGTC